CGGTCAGAAATATTGGTCACGATGGAGAATGTAGCACCTCCTGTTGTGTTTCTGTCACCTGATTTCTGCCTCTCATGTGATTTTATTTGCATTTCAGTGATTCAGACCCGTTGTTTGAAGGAGGTATTTTTTCTTTTTGAAAAGTCTCAGGTTGCCTCGAAAACTCGCACATTTTGGTGAAACTGTCAGATTTAAACAAATCTGAAAAATCATTAGCAATTTTTGTTATATTTCTAATTATTTCAGGTCAGATTTCACTGGAAAATCTGTTAAGTTTGCAGCTTTATTTTACATTCATATCATCAAAATGTGAATTATATCCAACAGCAAAAAGAAAAAGAAAATAACTGGTTTGTGGCGAGCGCTTGGAAGAAATGTACTGTTTGTGTTGACCGTGATGCAGATTTCACTTTTTTTTGTTTACACATGTTGCACAAAATAAATGTGGTAAAAGTTGTTCAAAGGGAACTCAGACTGTACACTATAAGAACAAACATGAATGTTTTGCTGTAAAATATTGCAGAAAAATAGGAAAGGTTTATAAATGACTGTGAATTGTACAAATTATTTTGTTTTGAAATGATGGGACTGAAGGAAAAATAAAGGTTTCTTGCATTTTTTGGAGTGTTCTCTAAAATGAATGAATGACTGAATGAATGAATGAATGACTGAATGAATGAATGAATGAATGAATGGGACAATCTTTGATAACAATGTTTTATTATGAGAACACACACACAGCTCAGATATCACATGCACTGTGGAGAGAACTCTCCTTGGACATTCTGACTTTATTATGTTCTCCAGTAATAAACACCGTAGAACGCGGCTGCCGCTTCTTTTACATCCTGCTGGCAGCCTCTTATCTCACAGTTATCCTTCAACCTTTTCATCTGAACACACTGTACACATTTTCATTTACACCTTCCTTATATTGATTTGTGCATTTCGACCCCCATTAATGCTGACGATGCATTTCTAGAGTCATGATAGCAACTGGAATCAAACTTTTAATGAAAGAACTTGAGAAACGTGTTTTTTTGTGCAGATCGAGGCCAGAAGGCACCAGTTTGGGGAAACTTGATTTTCGCTGGGCGTAATTCACCCAGAAACAGATTTAAATGAAAAATACTTTAATTTCAGGGAGCTTATCTGCAGTACAGCCATATAACAGGGTTATCAGAGAGCAGATTCAGGCTTAGTTTAATAACTGTTCTGTTAAAGGTGCTCATGCATCCATATAAGAATCGTGACAAGTTTTTTTTTTTTTGTAAATGCAAAACAATGTTTTGGTTCAACCTCGAAAGAATGAGTTGGTGAGAACAGAATTAAAACTTCACTATAGCAGAAAGGGCATGATACATTCCAGTAAAATAAGCTTTTTTGCTTTTTTTCATATTTTTTCCTCAAATACACTCTAAAAAAATGAAACGTTAAATTTACCTAACCAAGTTCTGTTAACTGGTTCCACTAGTTGCTTCAATGTAGAGTAATACACATAAACTTTTAACATAACACATAACAATACATATGACTCTTTACATTTAAGCCACTAGATTTAGTGAAATCCGTTGACATAATTTAGTTAAGTTAACTCAACATTTCCCTCCTTATGGGCTCGACACACAGGAGGCCACATCACCTCTCCTCCATTCATTTTCAATGAGACATGCGCAACAAAGTGATAATCGCGGGTCTCCCTCCTACCAAGCGAAGTGCGAAAAACGTGCGTGTGAAATTTTGCGCTCGTACACCTGTCGTGCACAGGCGACCCAGCGACGCGATCCCAGAAAGTTCAAATATTTTCAACTTTTCATCGCTGTCGCTCGGACGAGGACCAATCAACGGAGGTTTCATTCACTGACCAATGAGCAGACAGGATGCTCCGTACATCTCCGAGCAAACATGGAGGAGAAGTTGATTATTATTATGTTTATATAGTAAAACCAGAAGTAAGATTTCACATAACTCTAGCAGCACCTTATGAAACATCATATCTACCACTTTTTTAAACTCTGAACCGCTTAAATAACATTAATTCCCTCCAGCCTGACACAGCCAAACAAAACAACGGAAGTTTCGATTTCGCCATGGAACAGAACGCGTAGAAGGTTTTGCCGCTGGCCGCCTCCCGTGTGTCAGGTAATAAAAGCGACTGCGACGAATTTCGCTGATCACGGTCGTTTGTCTCCTCCCGTGTGTCGAGCCCCTTAGAGTGTAGATTCATCTTGTAAGAAAGAAAAAGTGCCTCAAATTTTTTACCGGACTTCACTTCTCTAGTAAAATCAATAAAGAACAACTTCTGACATAATTTTCTCACATTTTCATGTCTTCTTCATGACAAAACTCCTCTTGATAAATCTCTTCTAAAGAGTTTCCGTGAGTTGGGAAGTGAGATGTCGCAGGTCGTTTTGTGTCCCTAAATGAAAGATTTTCTTTGTCCACAAAGACACGCAAGCATCATTACAGCATCATTTGAACATTTTTGTCCCTATTTTTGGTCATACCAGTCAATTCTGCTGAGCTCTGCATATCAGGGGTCCTCAACTAAATTTATTCAAGGGTCGGAGTTTTTTCCAGCAGGCACTGTGAGGGCCAGATGCTCTTCTAAAATAAAGTTAAAGTATTATCATATCTTAATTTATTAATAGTTAAAATATTTCCATCTTAACTGTTTTGATTGTCATTTTAGTTGTGTTTGGAGAATATAAACAATTATTGATATTTGGGACAAGAATTTTTCTGCTGAACTTCTAAGTCCTCCAGTTGGGGGAGGGCCCAAAGGGTTGGGGGGTCAGTTGGAAAGGTCTGGCCCCCCTGTTGAGATGTACTGCTATTTATGATCAAATAAATTACAACACATACATATTCATCTAAACTACTTTGGTATTAAAAAAATTGGAGTTATAAAAGTTGATGTGTATTTATGATAAAAACTGTTTAAAAAACACTGATAAACAATAAAATGTGCAACTAAAAGCTCAAACACTAATTAAACATAATAAGTTATATTAACTGATACAGTTAATCTTCTGTCCTTTTGATTCTGCATGAATAAACAGCAATTAAGATAATTAAGTGGGCTTCAGATGTAAACCCATGAAGAGATAACAGGAATGACGTTTTGGAAATCCTCTACGAGGAAATAAACTTGGTTCTGGTACCAGGAAGTACTGAACACCCACATATTTAACAGTAAACATTCAACAGCACTGTTCACATTTGTGTCAATCATTTCTGATAAATCTTTGCCGTAAGTTCTTGATGGAGCAGATTTATTCCTTTTGACTAAATAAATGAACTTGCTTCCAGTTTAAACCAAGAATTAGTCCTTTTTTCAGTATTTGATACTTAAGGATGACTATGTGTTGTGTTGGCCCACTGAGGGAATGTGCCCATGTTGAACATGCTGTATCCCCAGGTGTTGATGCCTAAATTAATGCAGAGGATCCCGATGATGTTCAGCATGAAGCCGGTTTTCACCTAAAGAAACAGATCTGGTCAAAAAGGAGAATCCTGGGAACCAAGACTCACGTGGAAATGGTCTGCATGCACCTCACCATGTCTACGACTTTGAGGTTTCCAAAGGAGAAGGCGATGGCGTTGGGCGGTGTTGCCACGGGCAGCATGAACGCTAGAGAGGCAGCGATTGTGCAAGGCAGCATCACGTAAAGAGGGTGTATCTGGATAGCTGTGGCCTAAGACACCAAACGCAACATGTGAAAACTGTGTGTGTGTGTGTGTGTGTGTGTGTGTGTGTGTGTGTGTGTGTGTTGCACTGGATTTAGTTTACCATTGAACCCAGTATGGGTAGGAACAGCGTGGTGGTGGCCGTGTTGCTGGAGCATTCTGTGAAGGTCGCGACGAGCAGGGAGAGCAGAATCGAGATGGCAAATGGGGGAATACTCTGCAGGGGTGTCAAACTATTCCCCAGCCATTCGGACAACTTTGACTCCTTCAATCAGACAATAAAGTTTATGCATTTACTGAAAGTCCAGATATTTGAAAACCAGAATTATTAAACTTGATTTTAAAATCCGGGGAAGAGTTCACCTCACTGCCAGCAGCCAGAGCGAAGCCTCCTCCCAGGAGCAGGATGATGTTCCAGGGCATCCGCTCATGGACGACCTTCCAGTTCAGAAGAGTCGGAGGAGCCTTCACCACCTTTCCTGTGAGAGCCAGAAAAAAATATAAACATAAAAGTTTTTGCATATTTTTTTAAAATGTATGGATTAAGATGAGGGAGTTCATGTTAATTGTCCCACCTGCCTCATTGTGTCCGTAGCTGCCGCATGTTGGCAGCCGTGAGGGGATGACGAAGAAAAGACTTGACATAAAGATGGCGACAGTTCCATCTGAAACAAACCTAAAAGACACATCTTTATGTAATTTAAATATAATAATTTAAATGAATCTGTCTAAAGGTGCATGAAGTAAGAATGACTGCTGAATTTAGTTCTGAGCAACTGTTGCCAGTTGCAGATCAGAAAATTCTAGATGAAAGTCATGCAGAGTAAACACTACAGATAAATACATTTCACTGCAATATTGAATTGTTGGCAAATGAAAAGGCAGCTTGAGATATTTTTAGAGCCAACAAAGTTAGCCTTGTTAGTTCAACATTAGCCTTCACGTAAAAATATGCCAGGGCTTCTCAAAGGAGTGGTTGCAGTGGTCTCTGGTAAGAATGAATGCCTTGTAAGTTTTACTAGGTGGTTTTAGCAGGTTTTAGTGTCTTATTTCTGGATATTTGGACATCTCTCTTTGATTGGATAATGCAATGTGACTTTACCTCTGACTTGCAACATGGATGTTTTATTTCCACAAATAGCACAAGCCTGGAGGAGCTTCTGCCATGTGGTGGTGGTGCTAATGCTAATGATTAGCTTAAACTAGCCAAGACATACTCTGCTGTCTCTCAGATGTTAAAACAATAACAGCCTTCCCTGTCGTGAGTCAAGATTGGTGAGTCCATGAATGCTAATTCACAGTGTGACACCACCTATCTTCTATCAGAAGCTAATGCAGGAGACAGGTGTAGGAGACTGTTTTCATGTTCAGATTTGGCAACCCTGCAGGCTCCCATATGATTGGCTCTAGAACCGGGAAGTATGGAGATGGGTCAGATTTTGAAGAAAGACCACATCCCTCTTCAGCTTTATTAAAAGGAGAAATGTTGGTAACCACACAGCCGACTGAGAAGGAAATCAGTTCCTTCTGAAAGGATTGAGATATTAGACTTTTTTGTGATGTCTTCACTGTAAAATTCTTACTTATTGCACCTTTAAGTATTTTGATCAGTCCCGTAATCATGAGGAATAAAAGCATTCATTTAAATGGAGCATGGTACAGAGTCAGATGAAGAAAAATACTGTAAGTTGATCATAATAAAACCTATGTACAGTCGAATGACAGAAAGACTTACGGGCCCTCCTTGTTGAAGAGCACCGTCGCCCAGCCGGGGATGAAGCCCGGCTCCCTGGTGAACCAAAGTATCACGAGCAGGACAAAGATGGTGAGAACAGCTCCCTCAGCAAACTTCATGCCGCCCAGCTTCCTGTACTCCGCTCTCATCACAGCGTAGGCCTCCTTCGCTCTATCACTGTTCACGCCGCAGCCGAAGGTCTTCTTCAGACTGACACAAAAAAAATCTCGTTTTCCACATCAGTAAAACAAAACAAAGCAAAAACAAACAAACATTTGAAACGTGCTGCTGATGTACAATTTTCTTACTTGAAGCCAAGAAACATGAACTGGAGCCAGAACCAGGAGATCACCAGCATAAGCACCATGTTGGGAAAAGCAAAGCCGAACCAGCTGGCAAAGTTGATGACATCGCCGTTTCCTGGGTAGAGCCTTGAGAGAGCAACATAAACTGTGAATAAAGGGGCAGATGTAAAAGTGTTTGCTCTGAGTTGATTATTGATGTCTTACTTGTCCATTTGACCCTTCAGGATGAGGTTAGGGGTTGTGCCGGTGAGTGTGGCCGTGCCTCCGATGCTAGCAGAGTAACACACACTCAGGCTCATCCCTTTAGTTAGGAGGTCATACTTGGCCTCCATAGCTTTCCTCCTGAGCTCCTGTGAGAACCCAAGATTCTCCTCATTCTCACCTGGAAGGCAGCACAAAAAAGATTGTCAATAAAAATTGACATTTACATAAATTTAAGCTAACACTTTACTCACCGACACCATTTTCCTGCTGAAGTTTTTGGTCTAGCTTCTTTTCATCAGACACATCCTCCTTGCTTTCTCTCGTGTCCATCTCAAAAGCAAGGTTTACTGCTATTGCAGACTGGAGGTCTCGTTCTTCTGCTTGAGTCTCGGTTGCTTTCAGTTGCTGGAGGACGGCGTGAGCGATGGGCAGCATCATGGCCGTGGTGGCCGTGTTGCTGATCCACATGGACAGGAAGGATGACACGATCATGAATCCCATCATCAGCCTGTGAGAGAGGAGCAGAAAGGTTCAAACGGATAGAATCCTGCTGCCTATTGTTGCTTCAAATTTTACATTTCCCTTCTCTAATGCGGAAAGATGTCTCTCTTACAGGGATGGATGAACGCCAACCAGCAGCAGAACTCTGAGAGCGATGCGTTTATGAAGGTTCCAGTGCTCCACTGCGATGGCCACCAACAGGCCGCCGATGAACAGCATGTTTGAGTCTTTCAGGTACTCGATGCTGACCTGAAACACATCGCATTTATTATTTTAATGTTACATGACCTGTGAACCTGGTCAAATTAATAATCCTACAAGCAATAAAAGTTAAAGCAATGAGTCAGCAGGTTTGTCTTAAACAATAAAAGCGATCAGACTCCAAATCAGATTAGGACTTCTAGTAGTCTGCTCTTCATCAGTCCAGACAGCACTGAGTTTCTTTAATTGTGTGTTTATCTCGGCTCTGCTGAGCTCTTGGACCTAAGGTTCAAAGATGTTCAATCTTTGTAATGAATCAAAAGGGTCAATTTTCACCATCGAATTGCACGCCAGAGCTGCAAAGTCAAGGTTTCGCCAGCTGGAGGATCCAGACGCACAAATCAACCCTCTGCTCACTTATTGTTCTTCAACACAGACATAAATAAACTGTCAAGGTCTCCCACTAAAGCCTTATCTCTCTGCTAAAAGTCAGACTGCTGGATTCCTCACTCTGAATAAAAGTGAATCCACACAAATTGTACAAGGCTTTACAGTTTATGGGTTAAATAATCATACGTGATGAATGAACAAGATGCTTAAATCAAATATTTGAATAACCTGTGCTTAAATCAATGAATTTGAAATGAATATTATTCTTACAATGATCCATTTATATCACAAATCACTATGTGTTTGATTTAACAAGTTAATCATTGTTTACACTCATACACATTACAATAAATAAATACGTTATTAAGGTTAAAAACATTTTTGTATCTGAAGGAAGGCGTGGCTTTCTGAGGAATGTTTTGGTAAAGCCTTCCAGACACGGCACATTCTGATTTGCCAGAATGGCCGGAAATCATGACAAAGTAGTTTAATAAAACAGGAATTACTTCCCGAGTAATTCAGTTTCTAGCAAAGTTCCGAACCGGCCAATTCGGAACAAGCATCCTTGAGAAATCTCTTTTGACATACAGTCAAAACCTGTTTGCACACTGCAAGCTGACACAGCCAGACGGCTCCCTACGAGCCACATCCACTTTGGATGCAAGCAAGCATTCCAGCTACTGTTGTGATCTGGAGACATCACATGACTGGACGGGTCGTATCGGAGTTCAATCTACGAAATCCCAGTGCCGTGAGGTCCACCCAACTTCTGACAGTCCAGATCTGCTGTGGGTCTCTGCCAGGGTTTGTAGACACAACAGATTGCGTCTGATGCTGTTTTATTTATAATCAGCTCTCTAGTTTATGGCGGACAACAAATTCTTTTACACCCAGATTTCACAATTTCTTTTCAGATACAAAGATTCTGATAAACATCTAGCTTACATCACACCACCTCACACATCACATTCCATCAACGCATGTCCACTGCATCACATCTCATTATTCATATCTTGTCACGTATAACCATTAGTTTAGAAAAGAATAAAATTCCTTTCAACTATATACTTGACTCTGTCTGAATTAATACAGTGTGTGTTTATGGTCCCTGAACAAGCAAAGAACCCTATGCTCTTCTGATTAAACATTCAAAGATCAATCAGGTTGATATTTCATATTTATATGGAATAGTCACATCTTATTGGTCATGATTAATTTGCAGTCATCACTCTATAAAGTGTATCTTATTAAATAATCGTTTGTCAGTTTATAACCTTTCCTGTTTGATCGTTGACGCCTGACACAAAGATATCCAAAAAAAGAAAAGAAAAAAAAAAAAGAAAAAAAAAAGGGACTTTACATCTCCAGCCTTCATGATGCCCATCATGGGGAAAAGTACGACTGGAAGCAGGGCGGTCACAGCCAGAGGCATGCACTCCGTGCACCAGAAAAGAGCCATGAGAATGATCACATAGCCGCATCTCGCCTCCTGTAAATACATACACACACATATATATATATACACACACACACACACACACACACACACACACACAGAGCTTGAGGTTATTACCGGTATTTAGGTCTCAGTTAATGGTGCCTTTTTAACTCAGACTTGGTTTTCCCACCAAATTTACACCACAATCATGACTGTAGAAATAATCAATGGACCCTCTGAACCATCACCTGATTTCTGAACAGCTTATTTAAAGCCCAAATGGCGGTTCCCCCAACCACCATCTTGGCTGCGTCATGTCTCGTCACTCCGGCAAAACACAACAATGGAGCTGAGAACAGGGCTGTGAGGGTGGGGGCAAATGACTGACACCCAACAAACTCTGAGATCACATAGCTATGAGCTAACCTAGCTAGCCAAAGCTAACGGTGGTTGGCAAGCACTTTGAGCACAAAAACTTCAGTTGAGTGACTCTCCCACCCTTTGCTGGAGCAAGCAAATGCTAGTGCTAGAACTGATGGCTAATTGGTCACATGTCAGTCAAAAAGACATGCCCCTTATTATTCATAATATCAAGCTTTAATTACATTTAAACAGATAAGTTACAAGAAAATTAACCCCCCTCCAACTTGTCATGACAATGAACTTGACCTATTTAAACCTAAATTTGGCATTTTAACACCAGAGTCAATGGGAACTTCCTCCTTTCTGCAAGTTCGTCACATTTGCCTCACTTTAAGCAGGCAGAGTTTGCCGTGGATCACAATGCAAACATTTGTTTAAATAATCACCACTGAATTTCTTGTAGTTATCTGAGGTTATTTTGATCAACAGGCTTTCTGAAAGTCTTTTAACGTGTTTTGAAGTTTTTTTTTTACTTTGGACTTTGACAGTTTTATACGCCCATTTCCAGTTTGAATCTTGATTATGTTCAGGGAAATGTTTTATTTGCTTGTTAAGTCACTTAACTTTGAACCATGAATCATTCAGATATAAAAGGCTCCCAAATTCAAATAATGAACTAGTGACACAACAGAAATGAGCTTATTTGACTTGACTTTATGAAAATGAGAAACAACCTTTCAATTAGATTTTTTTTTTTTACAGATCATCACATACTGCTTTTCCTCCCAGCTGCGGACATTTTCTCTCTTTAGACATAACTTTTACTGCCATAAACATCAATATATGATGTCTGGTAGCTTTTTCAAACAGCGGCCAGCTCCAGATTTCTCATCTGGTCCTGTCTGTTCCCTTTGCTGATTGGTTCTTTTTTCCGGGGTCCCATCTTTTTCTTTTTCTGATTGGATTTTTGTTTCTGTCAATTTTCGTAGTCGTTCTTGTTCGTCAACCAAAATGTCGGTCAATATTCATCATAATTTAGTCTTTATTGGCGTGTATACTTTTGTTTTCATTTTGTTTTAGTCCAAAAAGAAAGTATTTTTGTTTAGGATAAAATAAATATGATATAAAATGACATACGCTTGCCTTGCATTTTACTTTTCTTCATGGTGGCACAGGAGTTAAGTGCTTGCCCGTAATCGGAAGGTTGCAGGTTCCAGCCCCGCTCAGTCTGTCGCTGTCGTTGTGTCCTTGGGCAAGACACTTAACGCACGTTGCCTGCTGGTGGTGGTCGGAGGGACCGGTGGCGCCTGTGCTCGGCAGCCTCGCCTCTGTCAGTGCGCCCCAGGGCAGCTGTGGCTACATTGTAGCTCATCACCACCAGTATATGAATGTGTTTGTGAATGGGTGAATGACTGATTGTGTTGTAAAGCGCCTTGGGGGGTTCCAGGACTCTGGAAGGCGCTATATCAAATACAGGCCATTTACCATTTACCATTAAATAGTCAAACACCTCTGTTTTCTTTAAAATTGCCCAACTGCTACTAGTTTTCACACCCTGCTCAGACACGTGTTTCCTGTGGTGAAATGTCCCTCCAACTTTTCTCCCGACATCTAAATACAGATCAAGTCTTACTTCAATTCCTCTTTACCTCCCGTTTTTATGTTGTTTTTCTTCCGTTTAAACAAAAAAAAAAACAAAAAAAAAAACACAGTTCAAATTGGACCTGGCTTCCCCCAAACAAAGGCACAGAAGCAAAGACAGACATTTACCACAAAGTCCAAACTGTTTTCATGTCCTTCTGTCTTATCTGTCTTTCGCTAAAAGGCCATAAGACTTTGCACATGCAGATAGTAGCAACACTTGATCATAAAACAGATTGTTGCGCTCTTGTGTCATAAGATAGTATTTGATATCCCACAGTAAAAAAAAACTCAAAAATCCCAACTAAACTTTCCACTTGTAAAGCCTGCTGGTGTTTGGGGAGTCTGCTTTGTGGCTTTCAATAGATAAAATAGTCATGTGCAGAAGTTTTAGACTTTTTCTTCTAAAGAGTGAAAAGTTCTATTTTTAGGTTAAAGTATATTGAAATGTGGCTGCTTTCATAACGTATAAAGAATATAAAGAATTAAGAAAAGTAGGCATTAACATCTATCTAACAGATTATACGTGGTCTGAAAAAGCAGTAAAAATCCAACCAAAGGCCTGGAACTAAAGCGGAAAGGTTCACTGTAAACAACGTGAACAGGTTGTTTATGTGCAGCAGGCTGCTGGGAACAAAGTGCATAAATTGTAAAATAAATAAGTTCTCTTAAAGTTGTTTAAATTTAAGGAGTAATATACATTTACTTACACATAATGTATAGGAATAACTGCATTTAAGCGAATAGGTTTAGTGGAACCAGTTGACATAAATTGGTTAAGTTTATTCAACAATTCATATTTAGAGTGTGTAAGGTGATGAAGGAGCTATTCCACCGAAGGTTATTTACCCTCTCTCCTCAGATGTCTCTGACACAGAACGAATCTGCATGAGACTGCCTCAAGGTCATGCATCTGCTTCTAAAACTTCTCCTTTCCAGCTCAAGAGAAGAATGAAGACAAAGAACTCTTTCTATTTTTAACAAAGCTAATCAAACAAAGTGTTAGTCAATAATAAGATGTTAACCAATCTGTGAAATGACAATGTTATGATTAGTAAGTTTTAATAAGTAATATGACTTTAATCTAGCTGCACAAGACATCCTGATCCACGTATTGTAAACACATGTCACATTTTATCTTTCTCATCCAATCGGAACCTTCCTTTCTGAAGCGTGGCGTAGTCTCTGTGGTATTTATAAATCTGTCAAACTTTGATTCAACCATAAACCATAAATAAGACCGGTCTATTCATCGATTTTAGAAACACATTTTATATCTGAATTTTTCCTAGAAAGCTTCACAAACAAAAACCCATTTCTTTGAAAACGATCAGTTATTAAAATTAGCAGATAAAGTCCCAAAGCATTATGGACACATTAAATGATTATGAAAGGATTTAGCTCATAATCTTTAGCTCGTTAAACAAAAACAAATGAGTTTGATGTAAATTGTCTACGCTGTCATAAACTATTGAATCTTTACTTGCAGCATTTGCATAAATGATGCATTTTTTATCCTATTTTTGCTGAGTAAAGAATTTAAATCTGCAGTAATAATTTACATGACGGCATAATTAGAAAATAAAATAATTTTTAACCAGTTAAAGGGTTGTTTTCATTAATCTTTACTGCTTCTGCAAGCAGAACTGTCCATAATAAACACAACATTTTCTGAAAAGTTGTCCAGCTTTTTAAAAATTCCTCAATAAAATAAAAAGGATGAGTGATGCATTCCTTTTTTAGACCTTCAAATTTCTTTAAAAGTCAGAGAAAATATATATTTGTAGTGAACATAAACACAGACGAACTATTTACACTAAAACATGATTCCAACAGTTCAAACACACACACACACACACACACACACACACACACACACACACACACACACACACACACACACACACACACACACACACACACACACACACTCACCGAAGTAGGGAAGACCAGTGGCAGGGGGAGAAAAGCCAGAGGAGTGATGACGATGATTAGGTAGTTTCTGTGATACCACAACCACTTTATAAAGCTCCACATGATGCTCTCACAGCTAAAACCCCCTGATCAAAACAACCGCTGATCCAGATGACCACTGGTCCAGTATCAGGAGGAGGTGGAAGAAGACCTGGCAACAGATCTGCTCCTCAGGCGGCTGCTGGGCTGAAGAGGCTCACACAAATCTGATCTGGTGTCTAAATCTCCGTTAGCAGATCAAACATTAACTCAACCCCAAGGAGTCCGGCACAGAGTTGGGAGAAGGTGAGGAGAAGGATCAGCGCTGTGGGAAAGAAGGAGGAGCTGACAGGTGAGAAGGCTGATAGTTGAACAGGTTAATCAGGTGGAGGAGTCCAGCTCCTTCAGGTGAAACCATAGGTCGAGGGTTGGGGGTGGAGGGTTTCATGCGCACACACTACTTCTTGTAGTTTTTGTGCATTTTTTTTTTTTTTTTTTTTACAAATGTGTGACATCAAATCTTCTTTCTGGTTTGTGGCACTGAAAAACAAAGCTGAACATGTTATCCTGTGCAGAACTGAGCAATAAAACACAAAAAGTTTAATGAGAGCTTTAAAATGTTAGAAACCTGGTGGTTTCATTACAACATAACAGTCTGATTTCTAACAAACTTCGCCAACTCTAACAAGCTCTTGAAATTTAAAGCATTTCAAGCATGTTTGTTTTTGCTTCAAGCATTTTAGTCTCACTTTGGGTTACTAGTTAGCCCAGCCAACTCTTACTCAGCACAGACAAAGAAAAAGCCTGGTAGTGGTGTTACCCTGCCATCATCCTTGGGGCCAGCTCGACTCCACGTCATTCAATAAATAATAGTTAACTCAATTTTTTGCTAATTTGATGGGAAAAACTGAGTAAGAGTAACATTTTTATAGCTTAAAGAGCAAGTCACCCCCTACCAGAGTATCACTCCACTCCCACTTTCTGTTTGAAAAATGCAATAAATGCCTAGCAGACCAAGAGGGCGGAGCCGCTAACAAATACACATGCACACAGGCTCACAACGGCATTGTGACAACATATGGTACCAGCTAACATTCTAGTGTACCTCTTAGCCAATAGCGATGTCAGATTTAAATTCAAATGCAGTGCAGAGTTTTCACACGACAATGGCACAACGCTGACAGTTTTAGGCAGAAAATAAAAATTTTAACTAAAATGCACTAAAGTAAAAAACTATTAATTACACGTGTCTGCAGCACGCTTAGACACTCATTTATATAGTTTATCAGAAAAAAAAAGTTGATTCGGGGGTGACTTGCTTTTTAATGTGTGTTTTAATCCTTTAAGCAGACAAAAGTTTGGTTTAAAAATAGAAAATAAAATGGACAATTTTCTAATTAGTGGACTAAAAAGGTCTGCTTGTGTGGCACCCTGAACTAAAAAACACGCTTGTTAATTCATTAGTTAGGCCTCATCTCTAGATAATGTGGAGCATGTGCAGGAATGCATGGATCCTACAGGTCGGGCGGGGCAAGCCCATTTAGAGCTTTTAAAGTTAATGACAGCCAGGGAGGATAATGACAATGTTATGTGAGGCTCCAGGTAGCTCCTCCCCATGTCAGACGGCCAGAAGCATGGTGAGAAGTGTACAGGTCAGTCACAGGTACTGATCCCCCTCGCTTCAGTCATAAAACATCACCGTAATTAAAAATATAAATGATGTTAAACCACTGACTGAATATTTGTTCTGATCCTACAGACTTCCAGGCTCTCCTTTGGTCGTGACATCAACGAATCCAGGGGCGGATCTAGGATTTAACTGAGAATGGGGCCATAAAGGGGCCACGAAATTCATAGAAGAGCCAAGTATTAATCCAACACCTTTATACGAGATTTCATGCTGGAAATTCCTATTTGGCTCATTAGCGCCACTAATGTTTGGACTTGGATTTGCATCCACCTATTATCTTGCAAAGGACAGATGAGTGATAGGAAAGGGCCTCTTCAGGGGGCCAATCAGGTTTCAGCATGGAGCCAGTGCCCCTGTGGCTCCGCCCATAGAACTGCCAAATATGGGGGGGGGGGGGGGGGGGGGGGGGGGGGGTCCTGTCTTGTCATCAAAAAGAAATGAAAAAATAAATCAAACAAGTAGTTTTTTATTGACTAATTTATCTGAAGCCAGATTATCAGTGTACTCTTTGAGTTTGGAAGGAATTTATTTTTCTTTTGGACATCCACAAATCTCACTGGCTACTTTTTAAAATTTAAGAACGTATTTCCTCTTTTAGATCAATAGTTATAAAACACAATTTCGACTATTTTAAGAAGCTAATAGAAAAAAATCTATTTTATGTTTTACTGTGTCCCGTTTAAAACAAAACACTCAAAGGTTTGATCGTTGCTGGAGTGTGGAAGCTGACCTCTTCTCACCAGCAGGGCAGCTGAGCTGTTTATTCATTAATAATTGCTGTAAAAATGTCAGACGATAAAAGGCATGAGTTATTAAAGAGCACCTAATAGTTTAACCATCAGAAGTCTAGTTCTGACAAAAAAAAAGGGCAAAATGATTTTATTATAACATAAAGACGAACGAAAAAGCACGCCTTGACTTAAACTGTTTTAAACAATGCAGGACTCCATTTGGACGAGGGTCCTGTGTGTGTTTTTAGTTGTTTATTTATACCAGAGATCAATAAAATGATTACCTAACACTAAAACTGAGGTTCTTGTTGCTCTTTTTAGGGCTGCACGATATTAGGAAAACCTGCAATATGCAATAACAGTGATTAATATTGCGATGATGATAGTATTTGCGATAAATAAAAACAACTCAAGAACAAAAATAATTAAAACCAAAGAAATAAATAAATGACAAAAAATGATAAAAATGAGAAAAGCAAAAGATGTGAGGAAAGGGAAAAAGAAAACAAACAAGCAAAGGAAATCAGTGGATCTGGGAAAAGCGGAAAGAGCAGAGCAAAGCTAACTCAGGTGTTTGCTAACCCACCCACTTGGCCAAATGGGTGAAGAGCTCTATTTGATTTGTTAAAAAAACATCATGCTTCCATTTGATGGACAAACATTTAAGCTAACCATTCATTGCAATATTTATCTGTTCTTTGCGATATGCATATTGTGCATTGCTGACATCGAGATAACGATATATTTGCGATATATTGTGCAGCCCTATACTCTTTCTTTTTTATTCTGACAAAAGCTTTAAACACAAAACCAGCAGCACATAACAGACACAGTTGTTTTTGCACGATTTCCTCTGTTTTATGTGAACGTTTTCACCTAAACAGACAATGTTTGCTCTGTCAGGATGTTTCTGGGACAAACGGGACGGCGATCAAACATCCCAGCTTAATGATTATCACAGCTGAGCATCGACCAATCAGGAGAGGGGACGCCTGGTGGTCAGTAGATTCTAAAAATAAATATATTGATCGCTGATGCTGCAACAAAAAGTAAGGAACTTCAGTTATTCCAGCATTACTGAGTGGGACTGAACTGATTATAACATTTCTAGAATAGTTTAGTTTTTGTATAAAGGGGTTGGTTTGGTTGAGAACTAAAATGAAGCCAGCAGTGGTTCTGCTGGGCCTTGTCCTGCTGGTGGACACCACTTTTGGAGCAGAAGGTAAGTTTGTGAGGTGATTTTTTCCAGTTATTAAATATAGATTAAAAACCTCAGAACTAAGTTGGTTTGAATATTAAGATTGTGTTTTATGTGTTTTAAAAGGCATCAGTTTTATTTTAGTGTACATTTTGTGTACATTTTTGCAAACACAGAACTAGATTCATGTAAACTGTTATTAAAACAATTTCTTATTCTTTAGTGCAAATCAGGCTTTGTAAACTGATGTTGCACAGAGCAAAGACAAGCTCATTTATTGAAATAACATTGTTCTGAAATATTCTGAAATTCTGAAATTTGTTCCTTTTGAGCTATTTTACAGCAATATGCTGCAATATTTGTGCATTTATCTTCTGCAGTAGCTGTAGAATTTTTTTCACTTTGTAATAAAACAACTATCTTTGAACTTGAAACATATTTAACTTTGAAAGGGTTTGAGTCTTTCCTGATATTTACCTTCAAATTGCTACATTCTTTCCATCCAAAGATACCATCCTCTTTCAGAATTGCACCAAATGCTTGCAAATTACACAAACTATTTAAAGTGTATTTATATCTAACAATCCAATAGGATTAAATACCAAGGAACACGAAATGAACCAACCTAGCGGTAGTCAGTGGAGCTCAATGAACAGAGGGGTGACGTGTGCTCTTTTTGGCTGGTTGAAGACCAGACGCGCTGCTGTGTTCTGGACCATTTGAAGAGGTCTCGCAGTACAGGCTGGAAGATCAGTTAGAAGGGCTTTGCAGTAATCGAGGCGGGAGATGACAGTAGATTGCACCAGGAGCTGGGTGGCATGTTTTGTTAGGTCTGCAAAATCTACAAATGAAATCAAAAGTTTTATTTTTGATGGACTTTAACTTTGATTGAAAGTCATGTTTTTTGTTGCTCACTGGGTAAAGTCTGATCAGATGTGACCTCTGGCGCTGACACAAACAAACGGTTTCTACAGAATCCTGCGAGGGTCGCTGCGGCTCCTTTGACCCCCAGGTGAAATGCCAGTGTGATTCCATGTGTGTGTACTACGGAAGCTGCTGTTGGGACTTTTCCACCATCTGTCCCAAAAAAAGTCAGTATGGAATATTTTACTCATTCCTGTCCTGTTTTAAAAGACTTATTCAGTTGAGGTATCATCTTTGTTCTGCACAGTTTCTCGAGGAGACACGTTTGAGGAGGTGGAGGATGTGATGGACATAGAGCCGAGTTCTAATACCACCCTCAAACCTACTGTCAACACTGTTGCACCGACGGCTCCTTCCCCTTCAGCACCACCACCTAGCACCACCCTTGGTTGGACTCCACCCACTGACCCAGATGCTGCCAGCTGCAGTGGTCGACCTTTTGACGCGTTTCTGCAGCTGAAGAACGGGTCCATCTATGCATTTAGAGGTAAGGGTGGAACTTCCAGAGTAAATTTGATTTCTCTTTTCTGTGTATTTGATGTTTGGAGATGATCTAAATGTGTTCAACACTGAATAAAAAAAAATCATATATCTGATTTAAATCACTCTAAACTCTGAGTTTTCATGCAGGCTAAACATGAAAATAGTCTCCTACACCTATCTCCTGCATTAGCTTCTGATGGAAAACAGACGATGAAACTCTAGGATTTGAAAAGCCTGACAGATCTACTTCACACTGTCACCTAAATTCATGGATTCACACATGTTTACTCGTGACAGGGAAGGCTGTTGTTGGTTTAGCGTCCAACAAACAGCAGAGAATGTCTTGGCTAGTAGAAGCTAACCGTTAGCATTAGCAACTCCACGACAGTGATGGAGTCGCGTTGCTGTCATCCAATCCGAGGCAAGAAGTCCAAATATCAGGAAATAAGACCTGCTGTCTGAAGCTCGGCTGTGATGTGGATCACTTCTAGTTCCTGGAAATAGTTCATCTGTGTTTTTTGCCCCCCAGCTTGCAAGGCATTCATTCCTACTAGCAACCACTGCAAATATGGTTAAACGAGTGCTCCACACCTTTAGAAGGACAGGTTTTCAGGAAAATCAATAGAAAGCAGACTGTTGTTAAGCTTGATCTAAAAAGTGAATTGATCTCATTTGCAAAGAGAATACACCTGGAATTTTTTTTTATTTTCATTTTTAAAAAGTTTTACAAATAAAACATTTAATTAAACCCAATTACTTTCTCTACAGGAGAATTTTTTTTCGAGTTAGATGACAAGTCTGTACTTCCCGGTTATCCTAAACTCATCCAGGATGTGTGGGGAATCTCCGGACCCATCAGTGCTGCATTCACACGCATCAACTGCCAGGGAAAATCCTACATCTTTAAGGTGGGAAATTCATCCCCTCTGCAGTGAAAGTGTATGACTCCTCAGTTTAACTGGTACTGGCATTGTCCGTTTACACATTAATATCAGTGCAATATTCAGTATGTATTCAATACTTGTGCAATGCCTGGTGTATAATTTGTTCCTTTTGTTTTCTTAAGGGTAAAAGGTACTGGAGGTTTGACGGTGATGTTTTGGATGAGGACTATCCGAGAGACATTTCCATCGGATTCGAGGGCATTCCGGATGACGTGGATGCAGCGTTTGCTGTACCAGCTCCAAGTCACAGAGGAAAGGAGAAAGCCTACTTTTTTAAAGGTATTTGCTGAGGTTTTAATGGCAACATGTAGATTTGTGTTATTTTATTGCATAATAAAATCAGCGTTTATGGAAAAATCACAACAAAGTCAAATGATTTTTTTTCTTGAAGTCTGGAGGTTTTTTTTCTCTAATTTTGTAAAATGTCCTCAGCTGTTTGTGTTCGTCTCTTCCTCCAGGAGACAAATATTACCAGTACGAGTTCAAGAACCAGCCGTCTCATGAGCAGTGCATTCAGATGACCAGATCCTCCCCGTCGGTGCTGTTCACCAGATACACAGACCTGTTCTGTGACCAGACCTTTGAGGATATTTTTACAGAGCTCTTTGGGGGTTCATGTAAGGCCCAGGTTTTTATTTCATTATTTTAAACCTGCGAATGTAAACATTTTCTTTCTCATCCTTCAGCTAGCAGTCATTCTACTGGCCACCGATTCATCAGCACTGACTGGTATGGCATCAGAGGCCCTGTAGACGCCACCATGGTGGGAAAAGTTTACATCAGCACCAAACCAACAGCATCACCCCCACTTGCAAGGAGAAGGAGCAAGCACAGAAAGAGGCCTAGTAAAAGGCGAGGCTTTCATCGGAGAAGGTATAGCCGCCACGTGTTTGATGACTTGTGGCCCTACAGTAGCTGGTTTGACCTTAGCAACGAGTACAGCGACCTGATGGAAGAAACTGCCATGCAGGACCAGAGAAACTCCCCGGTCCAAAACGTTTACTTTTTCATCAGAGGTATGAAATCTTGTTTATTTTATCCAAACATCAGGCCGATTGTTCATTTTGTCTTGTTTTCTGTTTGTGACGGCAGATAAGTACTACAGGGTGGCTTTGCAGACAAAGCAAGTGGATGCTGCTGATCCCCCTTACCCAAGATCCATTGCAAAATACTGGCTGGGGTGTGAACATGAGGAGACACTTAATTCTTCCAGGGCAGAGAAATGATAGATCAGCTAAAGATAAAAAAAAAACTCGTTCTAACTCTCAAATATGAGCTTCTAAGTATTGTAATAAAATGTTCTAATACATATTTTAGTTCATGATAAATGTTCCATAGGAAGATGTGCTACTTTCTACCTGTGAGTGATTTTGTTTAACACACATAACTGTGCATAAAGCTAAATAAACTTTCACTACCCTATAATACTCATGAGTAAATTTGTGTTGATCCGTTGAGTCAGACGAGCAGAGAAACGCGTGCTGCCCCCTGCTGGACAAAATAGAAGCAGTTTCCTACCTACAAAAGAAAATCCTGCTGGAAGTGTTGCTTTAGGCATCATGAGCGTTAACATAATTTTTATACAGTGTGCTCTACTTACACATTAAAATGAAGCAAAAAGGAAAATATAAAAGCACAATGGAACATCAAAAGGCACCGCTGGGATTCGAACCCAGGATCTCCTGTTTACTAGACAGGCGCTTTAACCAACTAAGCCACGGCGCCATATGTGAAAACGGCCTAAATTTGTTTATATATAAAAAAAAAATACTACGCTCGAACGTTTTTATTTTTTACATAGTATACAATAATTAGAAACATAGATACCTATATCTAACACCTTTTATGAATTAAACTTAAAAATCAACATTATAGCGAATTTATTATATGACGGTTTTAGCTGAAAAGGTAATTATTCATTCCAGCACAAATGTCCAACTCTATCATGGGGTCGCCTAGTAAATCCTGGAGGCACACATCTGACAGATGATCCAGAGAGTCCTGGCTGTTGCTGAAGACGTAGTGGTCGAGCTGATTCTGGATCTCTCCGGACTTCGTGAGAGCTGCAGGAGCCCTGAGTTTGTCCTCGGGGAGCCACGCATCACGGGCGCTTCCTAGGATAGCCTCCAGCTCCCTGCAATCCCAGTCATCGAGCTCCCTGTGCGGTGTGTGCACGTTTTCCTTAACACCGAAAGAGTCTGAGGTTAGGATGTAATTATCTTGGGACGCAGGCGGGGGCACAGGCGTGTACTGGGTGTCCAGGATGGATGAGAGTCTGGAGGACTGCGGTAGACTTGGAGCAGGGTATCCTGAAGGAGAAGAAAGTGCAGGAGATCTGCAGTGGGAAGTCGGAGTGAGGAGCGGACTGGAGCTAACTGCAGGAAGTCTTGGTTTCTTGCTCTTGAACTGGCGGGCTCGTCGATTTTGAAACCAAACCTGTTGAAAAGAAACGTTTACTTTTTTGTTCCACTAAACATCCAGTGGCTAATAATTCACCTGGAACACGACATACCTGAATTTTAGACTCCGGTAGACCAATTATGGAAGCGAGACGCTCCTTCATTTTTATATCGGGGTACTGTGTAGCAGAGAAGACCTTCTCCAGGTGGCTCAGCTGCGCCTTGGTGAAGGTGGTGCGCTTCCGGCGGCGCGACGTGCCCGAGCGGGTCCTGAAGGCACCATCATGGTGCGCTGCAAAGGGATAATGTTGTTTTAATTTTCTGGCTGATATTAAAAATATATTGAAATATATTGAAACCACATCTCTGAAATGATGCTGCCGCATTTCACTCACCTCTGCTGGACTCATGCTGTGCGTAATCATCGTCCTGCATCATGTATGGATGCACAGGCCAGTGCTGTCTTTGGTAGGTGGTCATCTCGGAAACAACACCAGCACATCCAGTAAAATCCAACCCACACTCCATCCTTCACAGAGCTGTAAAGCTGATCCCAGATGCGCCTTCTAGGCTCCATGACACGACACCCAAAGGTTTTATACTTTTTAACTCCGCCCTCCCAACACACCTTGAGTGTCCTTTATACCCGGTGGCTCCCTTTGGTGCATTATTGTTAATAGTTGTGAGATATCAGAACTTGTTCTGCAGGCGCAAACATAGATTAATGTATTTTTTCTCGGTTTTATATCGTTTATTTTCTATTGACATAAGTCTCAAATAACTGCAATATGTGCAAAATTTCTCATCTGAGATGTCACGTGAGGCCCTAGAATAAAACCTTGGCCTCAATGATTGTCATGGATGAGCAACGCCCACCAGACCACCAGGGTCATGACTCCAGATGACTGTCACATGACATTAGGACGACGCTCTGATACTTTGAATGAATGGGCCCAAAAGAAATGTCGAAACCAGGTCACATGCCATCAGGACCAAATCCCTCACGTGACCTCTGTAATCCCAAAACGCAATCCGAAAGAAAATCATCAATATGGAGATTATATTTAGGTGAAGCAAATGTTTTATTCTGTTACTTTGTATTTACACTTGCAAAAACAGTCAATAAAGTTTGCCTAAAATAGTTTTTGTATTTCTGTAAATTTGGCTTTTAAAAAATTCCATCCACTAGATGGCAATGTTGCACCCTTGATCAAATCAAACTGAAAACGTTTGTTGTAAAGCAAACATGATAACTGGTGCAACTCTAATGTAGATTAGTGTTGTTAAAATAGATACTAATTCTGATTACACTTTAATTTATTAGAATACGTTTCTTCAGGTTTTTTTTATTTTAGGCTGTTTAGATCAAAGAACAAGCACAACAGGTTTCTATAGAAATTCATCGCAGATTTTCTTTGATTTTTTTTTCTCATTTTAGGACCCTAGTCAGAATGTGTAAATTTGTTCGAAATCTTTTGAAGTCCGCTCTCACCATGCATTTAAACCAGTATATATATTTTACATATTCTCTCTTGTTTTATTATTTTTATTATTATTTTGTTTTTTGGCAAATTTCTGTCACGATGAGAGGATGGTTTGGACCCAAAACGCAAATACCCAGGATGACACGAGGCAGGAGTTGATATAAAGAAAATCTTTTTATTTTAGGATGAGTCCAAATTAAAAATAAATCCAAAAAGGCAGGGAGCCAAAAACCAAAGATCCAGGAACAGGAGAAAAAGCTCACTTAGAGCACAGACTGGGAGCGAGACCGGAAACTTACACAGAACACCAAAACACTGCTGACAAACAACAATGGACGGACAAGACACTGAGACAAGACAGGGCTTAAATAAACTGGGGCATGATGGGAGGCAGATGAGTTGCAGGTGTGTGGGGAGAGGACCAGGTGAAAGCAATACTTAATCAGGGAGGGAACTCACATGACCTAAGAAAAAACCTAAAAACAAGAAAAGCTACTACGTAACTAATATTCTAAAGGGAAGGAGAACTACAAAGACTGGTGGGACAAAACATATAAAAGAAACTAATAAAATGAAAAGCTGAAACTATAAACACTGCAGAGGGATGACTATCTGCAGAGGGGTGACTGGAGAAGACTAAAGGAACACAGGACCTGAGAGATATATTTGGAAGGCTGAAGACCATGGGACAAATGAGGAACACTGACACATAAATGAGACGCAGGCAAAGGACACATGAGGGCGCTATGAAACACAAAAGGAGAACCTGGAGTGGGAACTGGAGGGGCTGGGGAACAAAGGGACACAGAACATGACACTTTCTGTCTTTTTCATGATTGTTCTCCAATCTTCAGATGGTGACATCTTGGCTAACATCGAGAAAACTTCTCCAATATTAGATTCTGAGCTTTTGAAGACATTTTGCTGGTTTATTTAAGTATTTGATGGATTATTAGATAATTGTTCCACTTTTTATGATAAAACCACCCATAATGTTGATTTTATAATTCTGGAGTCTTTTTCTGTCATCTCCATCGTAATCTGAGTAATTTACCATAAAACATGTTACACTTTGCTTTACATGTGAATAATTTCCGTCATCCATCGTAAACTGAGGTGTTTATACAGACACACACTAATCCACTTTGTCTACACACCACTAATGATGCTCTACAGTTTCTTACAACACCCTTCTGTTTAATGTACACACTGATTATAACCTCAAAGATATTTGTGCTTAATCTGATTCACAAGTGAACAAAGCAGGTTACCTCTCACCTTCAGACAGTTTTGTGAGGGTGTCTCTGAATAACTCCAGACACATCACTACTTAGATGGAAACTACTAAACAGGGCTAATTGCACCACAATCTAGCCTGGTGCTAATTCAGCATTGGAAAGTGAAAGAAGAAACATCAATCTTTGTTTTTCTGTCAAGTATTTTTTGTGCACAAAATTACACAAAAATATTCAGACATGTATAAGTTTTCAGGATAATCAGTGTCATCAACGTACAGCTTTAAATTAATTTCTGTCACACTAATAAACAGGCCTATGCCTTGTAGTGGAACTCAGCAGGGAAATAGAATGACGATTTATAATTTTATTCTTTTTTTTAACAAATGTGGCAAAAATGAAAGTTTAAGACTCTGATCATGCTGTTAAACCTAACCCTAACCCATCATGCTAATGCTAGGGTATTATAGCATTTACACGTTTTCATAATGCTAATATATGTTTTCTTTTGCTATTTGTAAATATGTAGATAACCATGTAATGTAAAATACATTTTGCATAAACTACAATAACATTTTTGAAATGAGATTGGCATAACAGACTTGGGTATGTCAATCCTATCAGAGCTAATCTCTGCTTCTCCAAACGGAGACTGTTCAACAGGTAAGACATTGGTAATGAATATTTAATAGAAATTCGCTTGGAAATATCTAAAATGTCCCTTTAAAGTTAAGCGTAGCTGGCTAGGAGGTGAATATTTAAACTGGTGAACGCATCTGGACACAACACCCCTTGTGTGGGCGGGGTCTAACGGGGGAGAAGAAGGAGGACCGTTCCTGACCTGTTCCTCCGCTGTCAGTGTACAGCTCCTCCGCAGCGTTCAGTCTCACCATCCAGACGGATTTGGACCTGAAACATTTGTTTGAACTTATAAAGGTAGGACTCAAATAAACAGTTTTCATCTCTGTGGTTAGTTGTGCCTCCAAAAGTCCGGCAGACACTCATTCGGCTTCTCGGTGTAGCTTTAAAAACTAGCCGACACTGTTGTTAGCTTAAACAAAGCAACTTAATATTATCCAAACACAATACACAATGGCATAAAAGCAGCCCATCGTGGTTTATAAAACGTTGGGCGTGTGTAATTTAAAATAATTAAGATCCGCTATGACGCGAAGCGTCAGCCGGATGTCGATCTGCAGCTTTTAGCCCGACGTTATGAAGAGTTCATTGCACTCATATTACTGGAGTCCTTTTATGTCGCAAAACAAAGAAAAGTACGGAAAACAAAGCAGCATCTCGCTAGACCAGCTAAAGCAAATTAAATCGGCTTTAATGGTTTCATTTGGGCCTAGGGTTTAACTAAATAACTGGAAACTGTTCATTATTACACTTTAATACAGTTGATATAGATTTTTTATATTGATTTTTGACATATTTAATAGTTTACTATCCATGACTTATTAGAACAGTGTTAATTATTGTAACACCTTCCTCAGCAGTTACACACAGGATGAAGATACTACATACTTTCTTTTTTAAGCTCTGCACTTATGTTTTGGTGTTTTTGTGTACACTAAATACCTTTCCATCCTCCAGGCTGTTCCACGTGACCTTTAATGAAAGGCAGTGAAGTGTCTTTTTCTTTGCAGTCATACAAACAGTTGTTCAGCGTTTTCCTGTTGGACTGATGATGGACATTAATGATCACAAAGGCTTTCAGCTGCAGAAAACCTACAATGACTTCCTGTATGACCTTAAGATTGCACACTTGACCAAGCTCTTTATCTTTTTGTTCTCAGAGGGGAAAAATGCCCTTGAATTCTAATAATTTGTACAAGGTTGGTCCGACTGTTGGAATTTACGGATTCTACTTGTAGAAACATAATAAAAATGTCACTTTATTTGCATAAAGAGAAAATAGACGTGTTTATTTGTGTTTTAATTTGCATAAAGCTTTTTTATAATCTTCAAGAAATGCAAACTTCTCATCTTAAGCTGAGCTGATTTGTTGCAGATGGCAACTGTAATGATTAATTTTTATATCTGATTTTTTTTCTTTTGCAGGAATTTGCACCATGCTGCTTGTGGCAGAACATAAAAGCTAACTTGTTCTGCTTCCAAAATCTTTTTAAAGCTATGTTTTGTTTTCATATAATATTTAAAGAAATAAGACAGAACAAATCCTCACGTTTTTTTTTTTGTTTCCTTGATTGTGTACAGGATGTCTCGGGAGCAGCAGCTCGTGGCTCAAGCCAGGAAAGCCTTTGAGTCTGGCAGGTCCAGACCTCTGGAGTACCGGATCTACCAACTAAAGAACCTGAAGCGTTTATTCACAGAAAGGCAGAAGGAGATTGCAGATGCTATCAATAAAGACCTAAACAGGGTGAGTTTTAGGTCTAAATTGAAATATGTATAAAACAATCTATTGGATTTCCTTCATGAAAGATTTATTAAAATTTTTAATAATTTAATCCATAAAAATATGCTGAAGAATAAATAAATTAGGTAATTTTAAGCTGGAAATTGGTTAAAATCAAATCATACTCCTTCAGTACCTTCTATCCAGATGTAATGGTTAGCTTTAGCTAACAGCAGGTCCAACATTGCTGTCTCCATTCAGAGCGAAGTGGGAACTCAGATGTTTGAGACTCTGGGTCTGGAGGGAGAGATTAACCTGATCATCAGGAAGCTGAAGGAATGGGCGGCGCCGCGGCCCGTCGAGAAGAACCTGATGACGCTCTCGGACACCGTCTACATCCAGCCAGAGCCTCTGGGGGTGGTGCTGATCATCGGGGCCTGGAACTACCCCTGGGCCGTCACCATCCAGCCGCTCATCGGAGCCATCGCAGCCGGTACTATAGCCTTCTGTATCATCACGGGGGAAGGTCGAAGGTCAGGAAGTGATGCTTCATGCTTCAGGTTTTGAGGTCTTCTCCCCACCAAAGATATGTGGTTCTTTAAAAATGGGCTCCATGTAAGAAATCCCACTGATATTTATTGTGCAAATTGAAGAAACCTGCTAGATTCAATAAGTTTTCTCGTCTCGTGATCAGAACAAATCCACTTTCTCTTAAGTATCTGGCTGCATGCTTCAGATTGTGATTAGTGGGTCAAAGGTCATGCTTGTAGCTTTATGCCACAGTCATTAGACATTGCACAGTAAAAATGTGTTTTTTGCACATTTCTGAAACGCAACATTCTCGTTCCTGGTGTTCCTGTAGACACAGATACCTCCAAATGTAAACGTTCACTCAATAACTCATCTGCAGAGAGATCAGAGAAAGATTAACTTCTGTTTTATCATGCGTGGTAAACATCAATCAATTGATCAGTACGTCCGACGTTCGGAAAGCGAAAAAGTTGGCAAACAAGGACACAGATAGATAAAATGTAGTTATAAAACATAAAGACAGTTTCATGTGTAGGTTGTCATATCTGCTCAGCTAGTAGGTTACAAGAGCCCATGGCATCAGAGTTTTAAGATTAAAAAGACTTCAGCTTCCTAACAGTTTCAGGTAAACAGTCGACGCGTCTAGATTCCCTAAAAGGCAGCTGGTGAGACTGGGGGTGAGGTAGGACCAGGAGAAGAACCTGGCAGCATGACCGTTATCACTGAAGAACATCGGAAACCTGACAAATCCAAGCCAGCTGATTCAGCGGGACTTCAGGGATTTAAAAAGGAGCACAAGGTTCATCGCTTTTGTCAGACACTGAGGCGAGCTGGGCTTTAGCAACTCCATTTGAGGGGAGGCGTTCACCTTTTGCAACAGGAGCATTTTCATCTGAAACAGTCATACAATATGCAATTCTTAAGTTCATTAGAGCTTTGAGGCTTGCCGTGGATGCTCTATTATTAAATCCTGCAGAGAACCAGGGGAACAAGGCCTGCAGCACGTGAAGCAAGCGTTTGCTCCTCGTGGACTTTGTGACTCCAGCTCAGTGTGCCAGAAGTCACCGATAAACTCTTGCATGCCACAGATCATAAATTAAAAGTGGAGGTCAGAAGTCAGTCTTCAGTTGTTTGGAAGTGGTAGATTTATAAGTTTTAGTGGTTTAGGCAGTTTGTTCGTTTTGGTGTTTATTTGTGAGGTTTTTATCAGAACAACATTATTTTTCTTATTTATCTCATTCGTATAACTAATGGTTTACGTCTTGCTGCTGATTCTGGTCTCATTTCATTCTTATTCTACTTGACGGGCTGCGCAGTGGCGCAGCGGTTAGAGCTGTTGCCTTGCAGCGAGAAGGTCCTGGATTCGCTTCCCAGCCTGGGATCTTTCTGCAAGGAGTTTGCATGTTCTCCCTGTGCATGGGTGGGTTCTCTCCGGGTCCTCCCGCTTCCTCCCACGGTCCAAAAACATGACTGTTAGGTTGATTGGTCTGTCTTAATTGTCCTTAGGTGTGATTGTGTGTGTGTGTGTGTGTGTGTGTGTGTGTGTGTGTGTGTGTGTGTGTGTGTGTGTGTGTGTGTGTGTGTGTGTGCATGGTTGTTTGTCCTGTGTGTCTCTGTGTTGCCCTGCGATGGGATGGCTCTCTGTCCAGGGTGTACCCCACCTGATTGCCCGTCGACTGCTGGAGATAGGCCTTTGACATCATTTCTCACTCGATCCTCCTAAATAGACTCTCTTCTCTTGGTATCACTCACACCCCCCTCCGCTGGTTCCAGTCATATCTCACTGGCCACACTCAGTTCATTCAGTTAAAATCTTTTTCTTCAAACCATCCCCAGTCACCTCAGGTGTGCCCCAGGGCTCTGTCCTGGGTCCTCTTCTGTTTATAATCTATCTCCTACCCCTCGGGAATATCTTCCGTAAATTTGGCATACAATTCCATTGCTATGCGGATGACACCCAGCTCTACATGTCTAGTAAGCCCCAATCCACCCTTCCACCGTCCACCCTTACCCTCTGCCTCTCAGAAATTAAAAAATGGTTCACCTCCAACTTCCTTAAACTTAATGATAGTAAAACTGAACTTCTCCTGGGTGTCATCCTCGACAGCTCTCTCTCGTTTCAGGCTCATGTCAATAACATAACTCGGTCTGCATACTTTCACCTCCGATCCATAAATCATCTCCGCCCCTCCCTTACGTCTAACGCTACAGCCATCCTAGTCAATAGCCTTGTTACCTCCCGCCTTGATTACTGTAATTCGCTTCTGTATGGTCTCCCTAGCAAACTCACTCATAAACTCCAACTTGTTCAGAATTCAGCAGCACGTATTATTAGTAGAACTGACACTTTCCACCACATCACCCCGGTCCTCCAGCAGCTTCATTGGCTTTCCATAAAATTCAGGTCCATTTTCAAAATTCTACTCCATACATTCAATGCCATCCATTCCATATCTCCTCCATACATTACCAGCCTCATTACCACTGCTACACCCTGCCGTTCTCTCAGATCTTCCTCCTCCATCCATCTGGTAATTCCCTCATTCCACCTCAGCACCATGAGTAGTAGGGCTTTCAGCTGCTCTGCTCCCTGTCTCTGGGACTCTCCCTCCTGACATTAGAAACACCGATAGCTTCAACCTCTTCAAAACCAAACTCAAAACCCATTTGTTCCCAAACGCTTACTGTTTGTGATTTAATCTGTTTTATTCTGTTTACTTGTCCTTTAGTTGTTTTATCTGTATTTTTATTGTGTACTGCATTCCTTCTCCTGTAAAGTGACCGTGGGTGACCTGAAAGGCCCTTTTAAATAAAATGTATTATTATTATTATTATTATTATTATTATTAGCTGCTTTGTGTCAAAGTTTATCAAACAAATCTAAAAGCCCTTCTCTCCTCAGCAGCCACACATCACAGTGTTTTATTTAATAATCGCCTTCTCCTAAACGTGTTGCTCATCCGCCTGTGCAGGTAACGCGGCCGTGGTGAAGCCCTCGGAGGTCTGCGTTCACACGGCCAAGGTCATGGAAAACCTGCTGCCGCTTTACATCGACAAAGTAAGGAGGAAGCGTAACGCAACAGGTTTAATAAGTACCAGTGATTCGATAATAAAATGCACCATATAAAACAGATTTTATAGCTCATCCTGCAGTTTAAATGATCAATAATTAAATCAGTGACACTAATATCGCAATTCTCCACATTTATTAACAAGTCAGTCAACAGTCATACAGAAAACCTGCCATACACCCTGCTGAAGCCACACCTGCTACAGTTGGTATAAAATGATGAAAAAAATACAGAATATTATCATTTTTTTTGTAAAAAATTAAAAAAAAAAGAAGTTAAACAACTTTGATGCAGGAGCTAATTCCTCTAGAGAGCTGATTTTCCTCATGTTTTTGTTTAAATGATGACATTCAAATGATTTAGCAGTGACTTTTTATTTAGTAAATGGATCCTAAATCAAAATCTGATGGATTTCAGTGGATGAAACTATCTGAATCCTATATAATGCTTCAGTAAAATATCCAGTTGCACGTCATTTCAATGGCTTTTACACATCCTGTATCTTCACTTAGATGTCAGGGGACAGAACATATTTCATTACACAGAGGATAAAAAACTTTGCCAAAGGGAACTATTCTGGATCTACACTTTAAATAAACTTCAACCATTAGTGAGCTATTAAAAAATAATCAAACCACTAAGATTGTATTGTTTGTCTTATTTATTTAGACACAAGTCTGGTAATAAATCAGAGAAATGAGTTTATTTACACCAGTTTTGGATGTAAAGGCTTAACAGGCCGAGCTTTTTATGTTTTCTCTGTTACAAAAACAAAAGCAAGAAACCAAACTGTTCAGCTGATATTTTAGATGAAAACTTGAATCTGCTTCAGAGATATTTGACCCTTTTGCGTCGTTTAGGAGCTCTACCCCGTCGTGACCGGAGGAGTCCCAGAGACTCAGGAGCTGCTGCGACAGAGATTCGATCACATCTTCTACACCGGCAACAGCACGGTGGGCAAAATCATCATGGAGGCTGCAGCCAAACACCTGACGCCCGTCACCCTGGAGCTGGGCGGCAAAAGCCCCTGCTACATCGACAAGACTTGTGATTTAAGCATAGCCTGCAGGTTCTGAGACCCGTTTATGAGGACTCTTTCTGATTCCAGTTTGTTTACTGCCGCTGCTGCTAACCTTCATGCTGATGTGCAGACGCATCGCCTGGGGAAAATACACCAACTGTGGCCAGACCTGCATCGCCCCAGACTACATCCTCTGTGAGCCCAGCATTCAGGACCGGGTCATCGAGGAGGTCAAGAAGTCCATTAAGGTTCTGCAAACTTCACTCAGATTGGCCACAAACAGAAAGTCAGAAAGAGTTTTATTTTATATCCGGGGTTGTTTTCACAGGGGTTCTACACGGCGGACCCAAAGACGTGTCCTGACTATGGACGCATCATCAACCAGCGGCATTTCAAGCGGATCCTGACCCTCCTTGAGGACAGCACGGTAGCTGCAGGAGGAGAAAACGACGAGTCCGGCTGCTACATCGGTAAAAACATCTGCCAACCATTCGGCTTTTCACACGAAAACCAGGCGCCATCTTGTTCAAAGCTTCTCGTTTTACGTTTAGCGCCGACGGTCCTGCGGGATGTGAAGCCTGAGGCGAAGGTGATGCAGGAGGAGATATTTGGACCTCTGCTCCCCATCCTGCCCATCAGCGGCCTGGATGAAGCCATCAAGTTCATCAACAAAGGAGAGAAACCTTTGGCTTTGTACGTCTTCTCCTCAGATGAGAAGGTGAGCAGACGGCACGCGTGCAGAGCCAACAGTTGGAGACCATCCAGCGCTCAGATTCATGCTTTTTCTCTCTGAAGGTGATAAACAGAATGAGAGACGAGACCTCCAGTGGAGGATTTCTGGCCAACGACTGTCTTGTTCACTTTTCTATCAGCTCTCTGCCTTTCGGAGGAGTCGGTGAGTGCACAGAGACAGAACTGTAGTGTTATACTGCCCTCTAGTGTCAAAACCTGGCACAAAAATAAAAACGCTTCACTGTTTTTGGTTTTCGTATTGTGCAGATAGAAGCAGGAGTCTTAAAGCCCGGACAAACCAAAGGTCACTTTCTATAAAACATCTTCTTTTCTCTGAACAGGAAACAGCGGTATGGGCTGCTACCACGGCAAGTTCAGCTTCGACCAGCTGAGCCACCTGCGTGGCTGTCTCGTCAAAAAGCTGAAGATGGAGGGGGTGAACAACATGCGCTATCCTCCTCACACACCCAAGAAGCTGGGCTGGGCTCGCTTCTTCATCCTGAAGACCGCCGATTTGGGCTGGGTGGGTCGGATGATGCTTCTGGCTGTTCTGGCGGCGGTGGCTGCTGTCGTGCTACAGGTGAGAGAGAAGGTCGTTTAACCAAATGGAGGAAAGGTCAGAGGAATAAAACAAATTAAGACTAACTGGCCTCTAAAACAAAGTAGGATCACATGTGTGTGATAGATGCGTGGGGAGTTAAGCAAAACAATAAAGAAGGTTAACTAAATGTGTTTATATCTTCCAGAAATACCTCCGGTGAACTTTCGGCACCACACGTCCAGTTTGTCGTCATCTTCGTTCGGCCTGACGGGAGGAAGAAGCCGTACTAATCCAACAATCACTCAAAAAAGTAAAATCAGCCTCTTCAGTATTCCAGAGGTGATCGTTGTCTGTTGCCTTAATCCATTAAATATTTCTGTATCTAGAGTGTCACGGAGCTGAGCGCAGGAAAAGAAACACTTTATTCTAACGCTCTTATACATTTCTACTCACACAGTTTTGTTGTGGTTAACCTGTTAGCTCAGGTTTACATAAGAAGCACGTTTCATACAAACCTAGAACCGTAGTTCTAATTAAGTGACTGAATCTGTTATTTCCTTTTAAAATTACTTTAGATTTTTATGTTGAAGGAACAATGAATGTTTACAAAAGAGGCTGCAGAGAGGATTTTAGATTTAGCCACCGCTCGTTTGAAACTTTTCATTTCTTCAGTCAGTTTTGCTCTTTTCCTCAAATTCATTTCAAAACCAAACATGATCATGTGAAGGATTTTGTTTTATAAATAATACTTTTGTGGTATTATGGAATGTTTAGTGTACGTTTAATCTAAGGTAAAAATATGTATTTTATCCTACCTTTAACATTTCAAAGTCTTGTAACTAATAATTATGTGTATGCATTTTTTAAATTATTAGCAAAAGAAATTAATTCCTAATTGTGTGAGTTTGTGCTTTTTTTCATTATCATATGTAATCATTTGGATTTTTTTCCATTGCCACCAAAATCTTCCCCTGAAGTATGAATTATTTTTCTTAATTAGTTTAAATCCAGATGTCTGAGGGACTATTTAAACACAGATGAGTTATTAATACGACCATTTTCATTTTGGGATGGATTGGATAAAGCTAATAGTTGCTTTTGAAAGCAAAGCTATAAAGAACATGAACTACATTGCAGTCCTGAGATGGTGGCAATGTTTATGGGAACTGAGACTTAAGAAAAAGCTCCGGTAAAAAAAAAAAATCTAACTGAAAACAATTCTGCACCACCAGACCAGGGGCACCCTAAGTGGGGGCCATGCCCCACCTCTGGAAAATCCCTTTAATAAATTACATTCATGCTGTCACAAACCATACTTCCATCTTTAATTAAAACATAAATGTTAAAGCCAAAAATACATTTAACAAATAATTCATTCAATTTGGGGTGGCACTGACCATCGGAGTCAAAAGTACTCATGTTGTTGGGCCTTTGGAGTGAAAGAGGTTATAGAGCGGGCAGAAGTGGACCGGCAATCTGAGTTCTGGAGAATCCAAGAACGACCGGTGTTCTACTCCAAGCCGGTGGATGAATGCACCCCCACCCTCCTCGCGGGTTGGAAATCCCCGTCGGAGATCGAGCTGACTGCAGCAGCGATCAGACTCCTCCAACCCGCTCGGTGTTTGCCAATGATCTATATTTCTGTTTGGATATATGTCCAGCTCCATCCTCCTGCCTGTCGGAGCATCAGGGGCGTGTCCAGGGGGTGGCCTGGGGTAGCACATGCCACCCTTGGAATCTAATTGGCCATCCCAGGTGCCACCACACTAATTTACCTTTAAATGGGCTTTTCATTGTCCACAAAAGGCTTGGAGGTAAAACAAAAAAAAAGCATAACAATTGATGCCACCCATGCACAAAGTTGTGCCTCACCTGGGCCACCCCATTTTAAAAGATCTGGACACGCTACTGCAGTGCATTTAACCACTGGCTGTTCAGGTGCTGCTGCTGTCATTGCGGGAACGTGCAGTGTTGGATAAATCGTCTCTTTTTGTGTCTCCTCTGTGCTGCCGGGGCTGAATGCGCTGTGCTTCTCACGGCAGCGATGCACCTTTAGCGCAAAATGCGGACCTTCATGGAGCGCGTGTGCGACGTATCGGGAGTGGCTGCGCTGGCACTGTCTGTGGATGGCTGATGTTGGAGGGACAGATATTTTTTTTAGAACTCGGAGATTTCGACTTATAAATGACCCGAAAAACTACCAGTGCGCACCGCCTAGAAAAAAAGTATTAAAAAAAAGGTATGCCGAGAGGTCAGAGAGTTTAAAGGGGCGGTGCATGTTGCTGCAAACCGAACCCACTTAAAGCACCGCTTTCAGTCCATATATTCAGAAGCATTCTGGTATAAATATATAATAATTTCCTGAACGGCATGCATACATACGTACATATATATATATATATATATATATATATATATATATATATATATATATATATATATATATATATATATATATATATGTAACACTGGTTATTTTTTAACTAGGGGGGCAAAGACTTTTTCACACAGGGCAGTGTAGGTTTGGATTTTGTTCTCTCCCTAAATAATAAAAACCATCATTTCAAAACTGCATTTTGTGTTTACTTGTGTTATCTTTGACTAATTGTTAAATGTGTTTGATGATCAGAAACATTTTGTGTGACAAACATGCAAAAGAATAAGAAATCAGGAAGGGGGCAAATAGTTTTTCACACCACTGTTTATATGAGGGATGCACAGATATGAGTTTTTTGGGCTGATACCCAAGTCCGATATTAATATCAGAGTTATGGGCGATAACCAATATTTGCCAAGACCGATTTATGCTTCAGAAATCAGCTAATTTGTATAGACTGACATTATGCAAGCTGAATTTTTGAATATTTTGCTTTATTTCTATTAAGTGGAATTTGCACCATATTGTATACACACACATTTACACTTCTGAGATGATTACTATCATTGTCACAGGACTGAACAATGACACTTCAACCCCCCCACCACCACCACCCCCCAATAAAAAACATACCGGCACACAAATGGAAACAAGATGAAAGAAATACTGGTTGTTTATGTCGTCCCAGTTTTACTTATCAGACCGATGCTGCACTGCACCAGGTGTCTGTATTTTCTGTTTCACAAGCTCCACGTGTGCTCAACGTCGGGTTTTTTATTTTATTTTTTTTCTAGCACACACACATTCACACCCACCTTAATCTCCCACCTGACAGTCCCCATTCCACCCTCAAACGCTGCTCTCGTTGGCGGGTGAAGACGCCTGACATTTAGTCCACCAGGATCCTCTCTGCTGCTCCCAATCATGGGCTCCTCTCTCTACCTCCTGGCTTTGAGTATTCTGCTTTCTTTCTGCACAGGTAGGAAACACACAGACACACATTCTTGATCATTATTTTTATTTTTTTAAAGTGACAAGCATTGCTATAACAACTCATAAATGTGATTTATAATACATAAAAGTGACTTAAAACAACATAAAGGAAGAAGAAATGTCAACCTGAAAAATAACAAAGAAAGACAGAACCACTGACAATAGCTCTAATTATGTCAAATTACTAATCAATAATCCACAAGGAAAAAAAAACCTGCAATGTTATTAAGGCTCTTTGTCCGGGACACATGGAAAACTCAAAAAAACCTTTAAGAATTATAAATCAAGCAGATTTTTAAGGGTTTACAATTATTTATGAGAAAATTACTTCTAAAAGTAATTATTTGCATGATAATATTTTTGTAAATTCACTATCAGAAAAAGAAATTATTAAAATGTCAGAATATATTTGTACATTAATGCCGTTTTCTGTGCCTCATTATGTGAAGGCCTGAGTGTAACACAGGTGTGTGAGCCAGGTGGAGTAAAGCCACCCTCCACCTGTGCATTGTTCTCACCTGGTGAGAACTGTTGTCCTCTTTCAAAGAACGGCATTGTGGGAAACAGCTGGGTTAATCTGGACTCCTGTATTAGCTAAATGGTTGGAGGGTCATGCACGTCAGCAACACAATGACTTCATCAGCACCTGATGGAGGAGCACGCTTAATGCCTCGTTCTGATCCACTTTACGCCAAACACAATCAGTGTCATCAACCGCTCCACCGCAGAGAGGAGAAACCTGTTTTACCTCACCGTCACAAATAAAGTACAAAATAAACTTCCTTAGCTCTATTTTACTTAAAAAAACACGCCAGTTTATTTCATTACCCGCTCGGGTAGCCCATGAAATCATCTGACATGTTTGAGATGTTTAGCTGAGTAAATCAACAAAGTAACTGAAGTATAACTGGAATTAATTTGATGCCTCTTTAATTTCTCTTGAGCTTTCTAAGAGTTTTATATCAAATTTAGCAGGAAAGGATTTATTTTTTAAGGTGTCGGACACTGGTTTAATCGACACATTTGCACCGGTCGCTAATAGGAATGAATGCCTTGTATGTCATTCTCGGGGGGCACAAACGCCGGTGCACCATTTCCAGGAAGTAGAAGTGAAGCTTAGCTTCAGGCGGAACGTTTTGTTGTCTTGTTTCCTGACTTCTCGCCTCAGACTAGATAGCAGCCACATGACTCTACCACTGACTTGCAACGTTGATGTTTTATCTCCATAAATAACACAAGCCTGGAGGGGTTCTGTTGAGTGGTGGAGTTGCTAATGCTAATGGTTAACTTCTACTAGTTGAGATGTTCTCTGCTGTTTCCTGGACGCTTAACCAACAACAGCCTTCCCGTTGTGAGTCAAGATGAGTGAATCCAAGGGACAGTGCGAGGTAGAACTGTCAGGCTTTTCAAATCCTAGATTTTCATCATCAATTTTCTATCAGAAGCTAACGCAGGAGACAGGAGTGGACTATTTTCATGTTCAGCCTGCATGAAAAACTCAGAGTGATTGATTTAAATCAGAAATCTGATTTAAAAAAATGTTTTGTCAGTGTTGAACACGTTGAGATTGTCTCCAAACCTCACAGCGACAGAAAAGAGAAATCAAATTACTCTGGTTCCATTCATACCTCTAAATGCATATGGCAGAAATGCATTGATGCAGAAACGCATCAAAAGGTCGACCACTGCAGTTGGCAGCATCAAGTGAATGATTATAATCAGAAATAATCATTTAAAAAATTAGGAGTTGGATCCAGCAGGATTGTACACTTACAGTAGAAGATGGAACCAAAGAAAAGTTGGAGGAAACTTTTTCATTAGCCATTTAGCTTTCCAGAATCAGCATTTTACCCCTTTTCCAATTTATTTATTCAGTATGTTTAAAGTTAAACACCCCCAAAAATATTAAATCAAACATAAAAACAAAACATACAATAAAGTGGACAAGCAAAAATGGGATGAACCCATAAAAACCCTGATGAGACCCAAATTGTGGAGCTCAACTAAAGCATAACAAGGACTTTGATTAATTCTCATTTATTAATTAAATTCGAATATTAATGTCATTTATATTAATGTTGAGACATAAAATGGGTTTTATGCATGCATGAATGTAGGTGATAAGAAAATCACGTATCAAGAGAGTTTGAATGTAATGATGCAGATTTTTTTTAGAGGGGCAAATAACATAAGATATGCTCTCTGCTCCTTTTCATTCACCTTGTTTGTGTTGACATGTATATTCAGATTATTTATTTCCTTTGGAATGAATTCAATGAAATAAATAAATAAAGTAAAGTGTGCTTTCCTCCAGCTGAGTGGTGTTACCGGAAGCAGAACCGTGATGACTCGTGTAAAGGTAAGGTCAAGTGAAAACGCCTCGCTGTGGTAGAAAGACAAAAGGAATGTAAGTGAGGAGTCACCTGGAATAGCCAGAGAGAAGAAAACATGTTTGTGTTTTTAAGACCCAAGCCGCTGGGCAGTACAGTTCCCCAGATGTGGAGGGTTACGCCAGTCCCCCATTAACATCATCACACAGAAAGTGCAGGTCGAAAGATCGCTGCCTCTCTTCGACTTCTTTGGACACACAGAGACCGTCAACATCACTGTGAAAAATAAAGGACATTCTGGTAATAAAAGCAAAAAAAATCTGATCTCTTCCACATCAAATCAGGTCTGACTGATTTTTGTCTCTTACAGCTCACTTCATCCTGCCGCAGTCGGTGTCTCTGGCTGGAGGAGGTCTGTCGGGTCACTACAGAGCTGCACAGTTTCACTTCCACTGGGGGGGGAGTGGCAGACCAGGATCAGAGCACACCATCGATGGAGAGAGGTTTCCTATGGAGGTACTGTTTGTAAAAACTTCTCCAAACGCACGGAGCAACAGGCACAAAACTCTAACCATTACAATCATTTATAGCATTTATTAAGTGTTTCCTATAAGAGAAGTTAACTAAAGTCCTCAAGTTTTCTCCTGCATATCTGATCCTTTCTGTTTTCTCAGCTGCACATTGTCCACATCAAGGAGCCGTACGACTCTCTGGCAGAAGCAGAACATGATACAGCTGGCATCGCTCTGCTCGCCTTCCTGTTTGAGGTACTGCACATTTCCAAAATCACAATTCCACTGCACAAACAGAATATAAATGATGGAGAAGGACTGTGCAGTCACATTTTATGATTTAGTGGAGGCTCGTCCACAGGGGGCAGCACTAGGGCACCGCCCTCCTTGATGTGAAGGGAGGAAAACATCTAAAAAGTAAATAAATAATACAACATGTATACATATTTGTTGTAAATGTGTCAGTTTTCTTAATTGTGCATGCAATGTGAACTATTTACACATTCTTTTTACCAGTTTTCTGTCATTAAAGAGCGAATTTCCTCCAACAAACTCGTTAATGCCACTCCCGGGGTGCTGGAAAAAGTTCCTCTGAATAGCAAATTATATTTGGTTGCTAGGGAGAACTGGAGAACTTTTGGCCAATCAGCATCACTGAATTACTGCCTCTGGGGCGCTAGGGGTCAGAACCCCTAGCTAGCATTCTAGGTGTTGGATCTTCTTTCCTTTCTCTCTCATTAGCCCTTTTTATACGACACATCAATGCCGGCAAATCAGCGTAATACTGCCACCGTGGTGTGTCTCACAAACACGCCGCGGCGGCATGGCGTTGTGGGAATTTTGTGGTATTTGTGCCACCACGCTTGGTAGTGATATTGTCACAATGCTGATCTTTGAATGCAGATTACGCCTTGGCACAATAGAGGGAGGTATCATGATCATGTGGGGAGTTGACAACTATAGTGTATGAGAGTAAACACGGGTGTAAGTTTCGCATTTGTGAACAGAATCAGCTGAGATGATAAAATGGGGCGATGCGGCGCCACATTACTGCCACGGTCTAATAAAACGACCTAAGGCTCCCTATCATTTGCATTGCGGCAAATTGGCGGCATTGTTTTGTAAAAGAGGTTAATCTCTCTCTCTCTCTATCAGTCACTCCCTCCCTCATCATACACACTGACTGTCGATTAAATCAGACCTGTGGCTGCTGCAGTAAAATATGTTTATTTGTTGTTATTTTATGTGATTATAATGTTTAAAAAGGGACATCTAATCCAATTTCTTAGATTGTAATAGCACCACCTACTGGTGGAGTAGGGTATGACACGGTGAGGTGTGCAGGCTTTGGGTAGTTGAGACACAGAGACATGGACTGCAGTTGCTCTTCTTAAAGGCATACACCGTAGGATTGTTTACATTTTTGAGTATTATTTTCTAATGTATCCATAAATGTGATAGTTTTTCAGTAAAAGTGTTTATTTGGAGGAGAAAAATAGTATTTTTCCAACTGTTTAACTGATTAAATATAATGGACTGAGGAGGGAAACATTTTCACCCACGGCCCCACCGATACTTTTTTCACCAGCCAGCACTGGGTTTCTTTCTCACAGGAAACGACAGATGATCATCCTCATTTGGACACAATAATAGCTGCTCTGGGCCGAGTGCCAAACAATGGTGAATGCACTGTTTTTATTTTGAAGAATCAGGAGGATGGCTTAAATAGTTTTGGATTTTTAATGAACAGTTCCTTCATTTTTTCTGGTGTCCTAATTTGATGCTGTGTGAAGGCAGCAGCACGGTGATCCTCGACTTCAGGCTCAGGGACATCATCCCAGCAGCTAGAGACCTTCACAGTTACTACCGCTACGTGGGCTCCATGACAACTCCAGGATGTGAGCAGGCTGTTGCCTGGACCGTGTTTCACACGATGCTGTCCATCAGTAGTCAACAGGTGCCAATTATAGTTTCAGTTTTTATTTTGGTCAAAACGTAGGTCCAGCAAATGACTTCTAATTACAAAAGCAGTTTGTTTGATATGTTTAACACATTTAAGACCTTTTGTTTGCTTTTAAAGTTAAATCTTTAAGTAACTGATCAGTCTGAGTAAGTCAAACTCATTTTCTTTGTCCTCAACAGCTCAGTGCAATAGTTGAACAGTGTCGATTTTGGACAGGACAGCCCATGAGGGACCTCTACAGACCTACTCAGCCTCTGGATGGCAGAGTTGTGTACAGCTCAAAGTCCGCCACAGCTCAGAAGAGGGCCAATCACGTGTGGCTCGGTGCTCTCTCAGTGCTGCTCATGGCCATGCAATGCAGTTAATGCACTGCATGAGGAGGATTTCCGTGTGCAGTTGGCGTGTCATTGTAAAAACGCGAGAATTAGAGAAGAAAAAAACAAATAGGTGATTTTTATAAAGTTACATTGTGGAAAAAATGACATGCTGCCATTGCTGCTCACTCATCAGTATGAGAGAGTTGTATTAGTGATTAGAGAAGCTTAACCTGGTGTCAGAAAGTCTTCAGGCACTTATTTTACTTAACAATTCTACTTAAACAAAACCAAATAATCAAAGAAACACATTACCAGAATCAACATCTGCAGCATTTATACCCATCTGGTGTCCCAGGTATCCTTGGTGTCATCTACACAAATCCCCTTCATTATATACAAACAGATGCAGATTAGAGGTTATGTTGTTGCCTAAAAATGCTAATAAAAGGATTACATAAGAATTTCACAGTTAAATAATCACAAAACACGTCTCAGTCATGTTGGAAAGAAAGTGACAAAGTAACACACTTCCTCAGCCGGCCGGGGGGTTGCCAGTTATTCTCCTTTTAAAAAGGCCAAAGAAGGATGTAGTCTTTGTTTTCAATCTGTCCCACCTCCACACTTCCTGGTTCCAGAGCCAATTATATGTAAGCCTGCAACGTTTCCAAGGCCCAGTCCCAACACTAGCACTTCCACACTTGCGCCCTTCAATTGCGTGATCCCGGCTAGGGGTGCGAGTGTGTAGGGTGTCCCGATTCATAAGTGCGGAAGTTGTTCACGTCCTTTTTGCACCTTTGATCCGCACTTCACCCAAGTCTGCATCGATGTGGACTTGGGTTCAAGTGTATTACCCACAATCCATTGCTGCAGGAGAAAAGGCTCGAGTGCCTTTGCTGAAAGTATCTATTTTCAAATGACAGTAGTTTATTTTAGGATGATTAATTGATGCTATAGAGCTCCGGACGTCACGTGACTCTCAGAGCGTAGATGCCTGGACGTAATTTGGTGTGTGTGTGTGTGTGTGTGTGTGTGCGTGGGGGGGGGGGGGGGGGGGGGGGTCCTAAAACGGTTGCTATAAATGTTGAGATTGACCTTTTTAAATTTTTCCCAAATAATTGATAGTTTTTGTGGGAGCAGATGTAATTAGCACTTTCATCAAAAACTTCTTCCATCCTTGATAAAATAAATCATAAATAGGTTGGTTAAAAAAGAAAAGGCTGCTGTTTTTTTTTCATATTTCAAGCTTTTAAGGGTTTTAATAGGGTCCACTACTGTAGCCACTGAAGTGTAGATATACATACGTTTGAGGGAAAATATGTTGTACTCTACCAGATTGACAACTTTTTCTCTGCTTCTCTGTTTCTTTGTTGCACTGATTTGTAATTTGTAATCTAGATATATGAATGCATGGAAGTCGTTTTTTGGGGGAAGGGGGGACATGCCCCTCCCACTTTTTGCAAAGTAAATGTTTGTCCCCTGCACTTTTTACCGTCCAAAAACAATAATATGTTATATTAAATAGACACTGGTTGAGCACTAGGACCAAGCGGAAAACAACCACTTGTGTTGAAGCCCGTTTCCCATTAGAACCGTCCATAAGCTCATCTATTGGCTCTGCTGATACTCGCTAGCGTGTGATTGGCCGTTCCTTCCACCTGTGCACTTGACAGTTCTGCATTTCTGACATTGCATAAAAGAGCCTCTATGCTGTATTTTTGCATACTTACTGTAAAGATCCCCCCCGCTCCTCATGCCGGTTGTCCCCCCCTTCTAAAGTCAAAACTATGTCCATGTATGAATGAGAGATAACATGTGAAGTATTAGAGTAACAGAATAAGAGCAAACACCAGAAGCCTGTTTCTTTGTAGAATGAAAAAGACACATTTTACATTAAAAGACATTATTCTATGAATTGCAGCTTTTTTATTTGCAACTTTAATTCTCCTAAATAGGACCTGATTGCATGTTTAGTCCTTTCTCACCGAAGAAATGCTCTTTTGTTCCTCTAAATGGCATGATGTTTGTTTACGTAGTTAAAATGGTTTGATTATGGATTATGTGGAGAGACAATCTGTGGATTATAAAAGAAGGAACATTGGTTTCATGGTGCAAATCATTCAAACTCAGCAGTAAAGTGTAACAGCAACTTTATTTTGTCACCTGCTGAACACTGATCAGACAGGACGGTTAAGCGAGACGGCACACATTTTTGAAAATCAAAGCCGTGTCTGGATGTAACAGTTTACTTTGACCTAAACCTGACAGCAGTAGCTGGGATTAAAGTCACTGTGTTTGCTTTGTCAGCCAGATCCTCAGGTGTTCCACCTGCGCAGCGACGCTACTCTTGGCTGTACCTCCGGGGGCGCTGTACTGCTCCACGCTGCTCCTGTAGTCCCACACTGAGGAAACGTCGCCTCCAAACAGAGGGCTAGAGCCAAAAAAACACAAAAAGGAAAAAAAAAAATTAGAGGCGATTCTAAATCCTGAGATCAGGGAGAAACTTTTGAATATCAAAAGTAAAATTAGATGCTACAACAGCTGACGGAAACATGAGAGTTCCACCTAACAGCAGTCAGGTCCTCCACAGTGAGCTGATTCAGGCTGATGTGTTGAGATTCAGCTGCAAACACAGCTTTACCAGAGACTCCATGAGCCTCTCTAAAGGGAACCTGCAATTAGAAAGCAGCGATGACTTCACATATTTGCTTCAGTCCCACACTTCCTGTTACACCTCTGGATCTATTTCTTTATTTCGGCGTCTGCTACACATGGACAGCCAGCGCCTCTAACTCACCCCCTTCCTCACAAGGTAGTAGGCCAGATCAGTGGCCAACATGTCGGGACTCAGGGCAGCTTCCATCACGCTCTGGTTGATCTAAAACACCAGGAATGAAACTGAGCTACTGATTCTAATGTTCCCTTAAAAAACAGAAATACAGACTATTTTTGTCAAAATACTTCAGCGTTTTTACTTTGACACAAGATTTTATTCCAGTAATCCTAACAATCTCATACTTCTGGTTTTCATTTTGATCATCAAACTAAACAAACAGGATATACAAATCCACGCATAAAACTATCAGTGATTTAGGTCTCTGACCTGAAGAGTGGACATGACTCCAGTTGTCACCTGCAGCACAGCCTGGACAGTATCGAAACAGTCAAACATGGCCTCCTTATCCTCCTGAACAGGAACGGAGAGGAGAAATAGAACAGAAAGTCAGGAATATTAGATTTCTTTTTTCATGATGTGAGATAACACACAGTGGAGGCGTCCTATCAAACCTGCAGGTCCTTGTTATAAGTGCTGGGCAGGCCTTTGAGTGTCATCATGAACCCCGAACACTAAAATATAAAATAATTAAATGTGAAATTATCATTAATATTATTGTTGTGATGGTAGGTATGAAGAAAAAATGTTTGTAACATTTTGCTGCTATAATTATGAGCTACCGTCGAGGTAAAAACGTTAAATTAGCCCTTTAATAAACATATGTTAAGCAGAAATACAACAAAAACTAGTCCTAAATCTTACTTTGCCAAAGACACGACCTGCTTTACTCCTGATCAGCTCCAGGCTGTCAGCGTTCTTCTTCTGAGGCATCAAACTGCTGCCTGTGCTACAAACAGATGAGACTAGCAGCGTCACACAGGAGGAAGAGCTTTATGAAGCACACAGAGCAACACACACCTCAGCATTACATTTAATACATAACTTATGAAATGAGCTATTTTATTTCTGACTGTGTTGCTTTGCTCATCAAACTGAAAAGATGTTTATTGTGAAATAATAACCTGTTGGAATGAAGGCGACTTTGAAACAGATTTCCTTCTCAGCCAGCTGGGCGACTGCCAGTTTTTCTCCTTTTAAAGTAGTAACAGTTTAGCTTTTAAGCCGGGCGGACACTGTGCGACTTTTTCACTCGTAGCACTCAGCTTCAGCTCAAACTGTACGACTTCCTCGCAGAGCAGATCTCACGAGTCGTGTGCTCACACTGTACGACCCAGTTCTCGCATGCGACCTGACTGCTCACACTGTACATCTGGTAGCAACACGTCGGCCCTAAAAATGTGCTAAAAATAGCAGTTTTTACTCAACACGTCAGACTTTTTTGTCTTGCCTGTTGTCCTTCGGGAGCGCTGCAGGAGGACACACAGGGATTTATGGGGCTTGGATGAGGAAAACGAAATAAAGAAAGTGAATCTGTGTTTTGTGATCAGTTTAATTTGACATGAACACGACAAACACGCTTTCTTGACAATCTTTGTGAGTAAAAAAAACGTGTAGAAACAAAAACGAACAGCGTGTGTTATTAGGGAAATAGCGAGCGACCGGCGTTGATGCAGGATTGCGCGCGCATGCGCCGTGAGCGGTTCTGATACTTTTTTGGATCGTAGCTGCTCGCAGCGCCGCTTCAACAGTGCGATACCCTCACGAGGGACGAGCGAAATATTAAACGCACCAGAAGTCCCTGCGACCTCACGACTGCTGATCGGCGGCTGGTCACGTGGTGTTAATCGCCTCTCGTAACCCCCTGTACACTACACGACCGCTCGGCGCAAAACTCGCCCCGATATCGTGGCTTCTCGCACGACTGGAAAATCGGCTCAAAAAAGTGAAAAAGTCGCACAGTGTACGCCCGGCTTAACAGTGATCAGTTAGAAACTTGCTCAGTTTCATTTTTGACACCACTCTGCTGCCCTCTGCTGGCCAAAAACTGCACTTGATAGTTTTGTGGAGCGGGTAGGTGCCCTACAGAAATCACGGACTGATGGTGACCTGACTTTTTTTCCTGCTGGACTTGTAAGTATTAATATTTTATGTCCAACAGTGTGGATCTTTTTACTTTGTGGTTAATTTTAGCATAGTTGGTTCATGTTAGTGTTAGCTCATTGTTAGCACTAGCTACAGCAGGGTTGTTTTACGACAGTTGTTATTCCACTTTCAACCAGTAAGGCAGAGGAGCAGGAAACTTTAAAAAGGCCAAAGAGGGATCTAGGCCCAATCCCAATATTAGCACTGCACCCTGCGGTCTTCAGCAAAGTGCACGTGGAGAAAGTGTGCAGTAAGGCTTTGAGTGCGTGGTACACACGTGTGCAAATAATTGCCAAATTGAGATAGGGAGCATTGCTTAATCAACCGCAACACATGCTGGGATGCTGGTCACTCTGATACATTGAAAAATAAACCTTTATTAACAACTGTAGACAAATATATATATATTTGAAATAATATATGTTAATTGCTGCTTTGTCTAAAAGTTTCAGAGCATCAACTAACTGTCTTAAAATGAACTACTTTCATTAGAAAATATATTTTTTCAGAAAAAGGCATTTGAGCCTTTTCTCATTCAGCAATGGATTGTGGGTAATACCGTTCGCTAAAGTCAGCATTGATGCACATGAAATGCAGATCAAGCGTGCAAGGGGGCGTGATCAACTTCCGCACTTGAGCATCGGGACAACCGACGCACTCATACCCCTGGTCGGGATCACGCAATTGAACAGCGTAAGTGTGGAAGTGTGAGTAATAGGATTGGGCCGTAGTGTTTAGTTACAATCTGTCCCGCCACCAGACTTCCTGATTCCAGAGCCAATCATATGCGAGCCCCCAAGGTTGTAAAGTCTGCGCCAGCAAACGCTGCTGTTTACACCAACCGGAAAAAAGCTAAAATGTTGTGGAAACGAATGGAAGCTAGTAAAAAGAGTGTCGCAGAAGCTACTTTTTCAATAACAAACAACTTGATGTTACAGTAAAACATTTTATCTACTCATCAACTTACTGTGTATGACTCATCATCACTTGTTATCTAGAACCTTCTGGCACTGATCCATAACTGGCAACCGTAGCTAAGCGTGGACTTATTGGTTTTGATACACAGACTGCAGTACCACAAACTGACCACAGGATGTCATTTATTATGCACCTTCAGTTGAGTTTATAATAAATCTTATTCTTGTTTTTCATCATTTTCTCTCGAGTAGTGGTCATGTGACCATGACCTTTGAAAGGACGACCCATCCACCTTTATAAAACACAATTCAGAGGCACAACAACAAAAAACCTTTACCTGTAGGCATCAGAGAGAGAAATGAAGGAGAACTCCTTGGTGCTGTACAGCATGAGGTCCTCGGCCATCTTACTGAGGTGGATCAAACACAAAGAAGCCCAGAACAAAAACTCCACTTAAAAACAAACAAGACATAGCTCAAATTAAAACACAAATAGAAAAGCACATCATGCATTTCATGATAATCTGAAATGTGTAATCTGCATACCAATAAAGTCTCTTTGGCCTGTGGCGTCCATGCTGTTCAGGCTGATGCCATCAAATCCTAACTCTATAGATCCAGTGAAGGATGAAAAAGTGCAGATTGTTAAAAATAATCTATGTCGTGAATTTAAAAATATTGCAGGTCAAATGCAAAAATAAAAACAAAACCTTTGCGTAAAAGCTCCCTATCGATGTCAAAGGGGGTTCCCGCGATGGCTCCGCTGAAAGAAACAGAAATACTTCTGGTTACTTAATCAGGTCCGTGTGAAAGCTGCACTCACACAAGCGGATTTATTATCAGTGAGTCGTGGAGGATGGCTGCTTATACTGAGCCAGGATTCTCTGGAGGTTTCTTCCTGTTAAAAGGGAGTTTTCCTCTCCACTGTCGCTTTTTGCTTGCTTAGTATGAGGATTGCTGTAAAGTCACTGACACTAGTCAGTGACTTGATGCAATTTGCTGGGTTCCTTATATAGGAAACATTATTTCTGATTGGCTTAATGAACTGACCTGAATTGGAATGTTTATTATGTGAAGTGCCTTGAGACGACTCTTGTCGTGATTTGGCGCTATAAACTTGAATAGAATTGAACTGAATTACAGCGCACCTGCCCAGAGGCAAGACGTTCACTCGCTTCTTGATCTCCAAAAGCCGCTCCACATCTCTGCTTAATGCAACAGCATGACTGACGAAAGAAAAACCCAAAAGACTGGCGTGAAAAACTCAGAAACATTAAAAAAAGTGATAAACTCTGTGGTTTTCATCACCTCAGAATCCAGTGGCTCCATCTGATTGGCTGAGCCCTCTGCATGTGAGTGTAACCAGGAAAAAGGACGTCAATCTCTCTGTGAGTCAAACACAAGACAGAAAATGAGACGAGAACTTGTGTTTTTATCCATCAGAGTGTGTTTAACACCTTACACTGCCGCCCGCTCCACCATGGTAGATATGAGCTGCAGGGAGTTGTCTGTGAGGGTTTTGATCGCATCTCGTAGCCACAACCTCATGTCAGTCACCACCTGATTAACCAAATAAAACAGCAAAGGCTCAAAACTCTATCAGCTGCTTGTTTAGTATCGCAGATACGAACCTGATCGTTCCTGCTCCTGCCCGTGTGCAGCTTCCCTGCAGGAGCTCCAATCAGCTCCTGCAAACACAAGTAGCATTTTTATAAAATAGTCAGTACACTAACTGCACGTTTTGCTCGTGAAACTCACTTTAAGTCTGCGTTCATTGGCAGTGTGAATGTCCTCATCTTCCGGTTTGATCAAAAAAACTCCTGTAGACCACTCCTCGAAAATCTGCAGGGTTATCAGGTTTATTTATTTCTTCAGTGCATTTGCTTTCCCTCATCAGCTGCACTGACACACATCAGGCAATAGAGGGCATGTTGAAAACTGGTTTGAATGGATCTGTAACTGGAGCTGCTGCAGCTGACACCTGTCATGTGATGCAACTATTGTGCATGACACACTCAGCAGGAAATAGGAATCCTCCGCCATGGCACATTTTCAGCTGTCGTGCATTAACCAGAGCCCACAGTGCACATAAACAAACTTCTGCAGCAGACCAACAAACAGAGCTTCAGATATTCCAGTTGTTTACTGAATACGCGCTCACCTGATCCATGCCAGTCAGGATTTGCTCCATTTCCTTTGTGCTGACCAGCTGAGCCTTTTCCAGAGCTTTCGCGTAGGCTTTGCTCCCTCGGATGTCAGCATCCCACATTCTCTGGTCAAAAGGGATGGAGGCGTTGAACTTCTTCATGATCGGATCTGTGTCTCCGGCAAAACGACCTCCCCAGAGTTTAGCCCCCTGTGACAAAAACAGGAAAATAAATGAAAAAATGAGAATGAATAAGTTCATACAAACACTACCCCGGGCGGTTTTTGACTGCGTGTTTGTCGTCCAGCTGACGGCTAAAATCAAAACAACACCACTGAAGCTAAACCCTATACCTCTGCGCCGGCCATGGTGATCGACAGGCGTTTCTATCTGGTGGTAAATTTAGTCCGAGTGGATTTTATAAGCCGACGAGCAGCGAGAACGAAGCGGCGGTGGCAGGATTTCGCTTTTATCGGAGCAGAGACGTGAAAGCATCTTCTGTTGCTACGTGGTCCGTATCCGGATTCCGGAAGTCTTCTGGTGTTGTGCAGAATAAAGCAACCCCGCCGTCAGAAGGTTCCCCAGCTAGTAAAAAGCAAGGTTTGGATTTTAAAATAGATAAAAATCTAAATAAACAGGTTAACTTTGGATTTCTTATCCGTAAGGACAAATTACTGTTATCAAACGCACGTTCGTGTACTGAGATCCTGTTAACGACAGGGGTACATTTTTCGGCATAACACCAGTGGAAACTAATTTGGGTTTTTCCAACAGTGTTTCTCCAATAAATCGTTATTTATTTAATTTCTTTTATTACTTAGTTGTAGTGTTACTATTTTATCTAAATCTTTATCCTAACTGTTCTTTTTGTGTCTTATAGTTCTAGTAATGGTTTGTTTTGGTAGATCATTTCAAATATTTCTAGCAATTATTTACTCATTTTTGGAATGGTGTTTACAGAAAGATATTTTACACACGTTTCTGGACTCTTGCAATAACTTTTCTCAATAAACAATTGCCATTTTCATGTAGGCCTACTGTACAAAAGTAGGAAAGTTACAGACGCTCAGTGATTGTTTTGACAAATTTCTGAAGTTTTAAATTAAAACTCAAATAATTGTTAAAACACACTAAAAGGCCCACCAAAAACAATGTTTAATAGAAAAATGTGAATTATATGGAAGCCCATTCCTGCCACTCAAAAAAATATTATCTCATAATTATGTATGGAAGTCCATTCCCGCCACTCAGATAAAAAAATTTATTATCTCATAATTATGACTTAGCTATCTCATAATAATGAGATACTATCTCATTATTATGACTTAGTCATAATAGATACTATCTCATAATAATGAGATAGCTAAGCCATAATTATGAGATACTAAGTCATAATAATGAGATAGCTACGTCATAATAATGAGATAGTATCTCATTATTATGAGATAGCTAAGTCATAATTCGTCGTCGTCGTCGTCTTCCTCCGCTTATCCGGGTCCGGGTCGCGGGGGCAGCATCCCAATTAGGGAGCTCCAGGCCGTCCTCTCCCCGGCCTTGTCCACCAGCTCCTCCGGCAGGACCCCAAGGCGTTCCCGGACCAGATTGGAGATGTAACCTCTCCAACGTGTCCTGGGTCGACCCGGGGGCCTTCTGCCGGCAGGACATGCCTGAAACACCTCCCCGGGGAGGCGTCCAGGAGGCATCCTGACCAGATGCCCAAACCACCTCAACTGGCTCCTTTCGATCCGGAGGAGCAGCGGTTCTACTCCGAGTCCCTCCCGAATGTCCGAGCTCCTCACCCTATCTCTAAGGCTGAGCCCGGCCACCCTACGGAGGAAACTCATTTCGGCCGCTTGTATCCGCAATCTCGTTCTTTCGGTCATTACCCAAAGCTCATGACCATAGGTGAGGATTGGGACGTAGATCGACCGGTAAATCGAGAGCCTGGCTTTCTGGCTCAGCTCCCTCTTCCCCACGACAGATCGGCTCAGCGTCCGCATCACTGCAGACGCCGAACCAATCCGCCTGTCGATCTCCCGATCCCTCCTACCCTCACTCGTGAACAAGACCCCGAGATACTTAAACTCCTCCACTTGAGGTAGGACCTCTCCCCCGACCCGGAGGTGGCAAGCCACCCTTTTCCGGCCGAGAACCATGGTCTCAGATTTGGAGGTGCTGATCCTCATCCCAGCCGCTTCACATTCGGCCGCGAACCTACCCAGCAAGAGCTGAAGGTCAGAGCTGGATGAAGCTAGGAGGACCACATCATCCGCAAAAAGCAGAGACGAGATTCTCCTGCCACCAAACTCGACACACTCCACACCACGGCTGCGTCTAGAAATTCTGTCCATAAAAGTGATGAACAGAACCGGTGACAAAGGGCAGCCCTGGCGGAGTCCAACCCTCACTGGGAACAGGTCCGACTTACTACCGGCTATGCAGACCAAACTCACGCTCCTCTGGTAAAGGGACTGAATGGCCCTTAACAGAAAGCCACCCACCCCATACTCCTGGAGCGTCCCCCACAGGGTGCTCATAATTATGAGATAATATTTTTTTTAAATCTGAGTGGCGGGAATGGGCTTCCACAGTAATGGGCTTCCATAGTATTATGTATTTACATTTTAATACTTTTTTTTTGGTGGGGTGGGGGGACTAGTTTTCTTTTCAGAACAAGCTCTAAGCATTAAGATAATAAAGTGTTCAAAAATGCTCTTGTAAATATTTTTCCCAATTTTGGTTCTTTAGTTTTCCCAACATTCAGAAACAAAGGAGAATTATTTTTTTTCTTAATCAAAAATACGAAAATATCACTAAAAGCATAATAAAGCTCAGTTCCCAAGACAAAAAACAGTTCACAAAAACGTCAAATACAATTATTTATTGTTTGATACAATATCTATTTTCCTGAGAATGAGTCATAATAAACATTTTGGATGGATCGAATGAAAAATCTGAAAAAATATTCACACAGAAATCATTTAAATTAAGCACCTGAACAGTGCTGTGATGCTAAAATACCCTGACTCTGTTTAGGTTTTAAATTCTCACGAAAACCTTTTCAGAAAGTCCTGATATGTTTGTCTGTGAACAGATGCAGCAGGAACAAAATGACCACCAGGATGAATAAGGACTTGAGAATCCTGAAAGCAGGGGAGAAGCTCCCTACTCATGCTGTCAGGTATCACTTTGTCCTCCAGTCCAAACACATGCAGGGATGGGGTTTGAAGGGGAGTGTCGTAGAATCTTTGGTGCTCCTTGCAGGCGCTGCGGAAACCAGCAACAAGAACAGCAAAGCGGAAGCTGAACTCTGGTTCTAGTTTTTTCTCCTGAAGGGCGCAGAGCATAGCCACAAACGCTGCTCCCTGACTGAAGCCTAGGATGCCGTCAAATGGGCCTTGGACCTTCACTGCTTCCCTCACAGCTGCCACGCTCTCATCAAGGCCAAGACTCTCCTCACACTGCTGCTGAGCATTGAAACTCTTAGCCTGGATGTCAGAAAACCACCAGCCCCTCAGATCCTTGTCGCTTCCAGACCCCGAAACGGAATCGTTTTCTTTGTTTGGAACCTCTTGGGACACAGAAAAAGGGAGGGTTTATTATGATGGGTGAAATTATTAACAATCCAAAGAAAGACAACACAGACACAATAAAAATGTCACGTTTCTTTTTAACATTTTTTTAGAAATAAAATTTCCAGCTTTAATCTGAATACAAACTCGTCATTATCACAGAAAACAGAAAGCTTCGTTCATCATTAGCTTGATACGCCTTTCATAACTTTATGGAAAAATAACCTTTCACTGATACACAATTAGCCAATTTAACACTTTCGCAGGACTTTGGTTTCCTTGTCTTAAATGGAAAGTCATTTGTAGAACAAACGTTTTGCTTTTATTTTTTAGCTTTCCTATTCTAAAGGCCTACCTCCAGCGCTCTCTTGCTGCACAGACAGCGGTGCGTTCACATAAACCAGCTCCACTTGTTTCTTCAGAAGCTTCCTCAGAGCTCCGGTCTTTTCACCGAACGAGTTTCCGTTCTGACGGTAACCGTGAACACACAGAAGCCGGAGAGGAGCCATAAGCTAATTAAGGTAGTTTCCGCTGGATTTCAGGTGAATTTTACTGTTAAATTAAGACCAATAAATCGGTATCACGCAGATACAACTTGAACTAGTCAGTCTGATACGAAATGAATCCGACTACCAATGAAAGTGACTCGTTAAGTTCCTGAAATAGATGAAAAAGTCAAACTAAATATGAACCGGAAGTAATAGAAGTAGTTTCCGTTAATATTTTCAACATAAACTTACATACCGGTAAACAATATACGAAAATTAAGTAAATATGATTTAATTTACTCACACAACACCCAAAAAATATTCTGGCAAAATAACCAAATAAAACAATATTACCTTACATTAATGATATGTTATATCCATAAAATATGTGAGAAATTGAAATTTATTCAATCTGTTACTGAAAAGAAAAAAGAAGAAAGAGAAGTATGACTTTTTTCACAAAATTATGACTTTTTTAAAATCAGAATTCTGACTTTATTGTCAGATTCCTTTGGAAGCCCATTCCCACCACTCAGATAAAATAAATCTATATCTCATAATCATGATTTAGCTATCTCATTATAATGAAACACTATCTCATAATTATGACTTAATATGTCATTATTATGATTTAGTATCCCATAATTATGACTTACCTATCTCATTATTATGACTTAGTATCTCATAATTATGACTTAGTATATCATAATTATTAGTCAAATTCTAGGACTCAGCTGGCCTCCACGGACTTCTCAACCGGCAGCACACAACTTCTGGTCGCACCGAGTGGTCAGAATGGCTATTTGTACGCGTTTGCTGCAAGACCACAGGGCACAAAATGACTGCGACAGGCTCAGCAGGGCTTGAACCTGCAACCCTGCAACCCTGCAATTACGGGGGCAGAAAATTACCTTTTCTGCTACTGTCATGCAGATTTCCACATGGATACAGTTTGTTTTGGTCCCCAACTCATGGGGTCAATAAAAACAGTCTTTGATCATAGTTCAGTTCTAAAAATGTTGGACACACACACACACACACACACACACACACACACACACACACACGGAGCTGACTGTCTCAGCTGTTATTTTCGTTAAGGGGTGTGCACGTACAGCATGCGCGCCTCGTGCACGAGCTTACTATTGAAGCTATGGTTACGCTTTTGGCCTGAGGGGGCAATCACGAGCATAAAAATTCAAAACTCCATAAAGTCCCTTCAATGAATCACCTAATTTTGCTCTTTTCAAATTTCTTTGTTATTTCTTTACGACTCATCCCAACTTACCCAAATTATGTGTCTACAATCCTTTTTATAAAGATGCTGGAATGCTAATAACAAAACCAGGTGTAAATAAAAACTTTGAAAACTTTCATAAGATGTTGACAAAAGATAAGATTAAAAAGTAAATATAAATACTTAGAAACTGTGACTTACAGCCGTCCACACGGGGGCAATGTTGGACCATGAGTAATGAATTTGTAGTAACAGGCTCAGCCGAGAAGGCTGAAGACCAAAACAATACAAATCCATCCAGATGGACAAATAATAAAAAAGTGGGCATGAAAAAAATCTGAATAAATTACCTTATAAAATAGTGACACATTTCCCAGATCAGCATGAAGAGAAGCAAAGGATCCAGTCGTTCAGAGGTCAGAGAGGTCAAAACGGCCTTTGAGCCAAGTCCTAGAGCTGATGAACTGTCTTGGGGTCATCTGCAGTGACATTATTACCAACCAATGTCCTTCTGCTGTGTGGTTCTTAACGTCTGTGGGCATGTAAAAGAAGACGAGTGTGACAAATGTCCTGTCTGCCCTGGATCCCCACCGTATCTGGCCACGTAGGGCAAACATCTTTGTGCTTATTCACCAAGTTTAAAGTCAAGTGTAACCTTCTGTTCAAAGAGACATCACAGTTCTTATCAAGACAAGCGTGTGAGGCAAAGACACGGCGATAAGAGGCTGTTTTGTTGTCTCCATGTTGACAGCTGACAGATGTTATCATGGGTTAGGACACAGGTGACAGATGAGGCTGCAGAAGTTTTAGACCTGTCATTTTGTGTTGCAGAAAATCTCAGCATCCTGACGCGAGACACCATTATCTCTCTTTTGTTAAATATTGTCTCAGACAGCTTTCTGATATGGCGGCGATTCATGCATCCGCTGGATAAACCCGCTCCCCTGTCATCTAAAGCATGCAATAATAGCTGTTTGCGGGGAAAAGAGCTGCAGATGCACGGCAGCAGAAACCTCCTTCACTCACAAAATACTTAAATAAATATGTTTTTGGTTATTAGGAATGCAGTCTTTCCTACACGTGAGACTATTCGTTTTATTTAAGCAAACCACATTAAACTCATACAAGATGACTGTGTTTGCCTTTGTTTTCTTTTGACTTGCAGTGAAATTTGAGAGCAGTTATTTATTCTAAGCTCATGACTCATGATTCCAGCTGTTTAATGTTTTAAAAAGTTTGTTGAAGCAAAGGCATGTCAGATGTGCATTGTATTATTTATGTCACACTTTTTTTAATTAACTTACAGGGAAATTAGACAAAATAAAGTAACAAAAGCTAGTGAAAACCCCCTAAAAGAGAAATAATTTAATTATAGAGCTTCAACTGGGTTTAGCATAAATTGAACACGGAAATTTTATTGCTTGATGTGTCGATGTTTAGTTATTTTTTTATCATTTTAGTTGTTGTTTTTATTCTGTGCACCTTATTGTTTAATTTAGCATTTCCCCCTAACTTTTTCAGCTGATGGAACATCAACCACCGAAGCAGGCACATATGAAATCAGGTCAACAGTCCCTCATTTGTCTCCTCACAGTTCAAATTCTCATTTAATTTAGGTTTTTTCATCCTTTTTTCGTACACGATTGCTTATACCATTGCTGTAAGTGTTTTATAATTGTTATGATTCTCCAAGTGAAATGTTTTATTCTATATTTATTGTACAATAACCATATTCTGATGTAACACCCCCAGCAGGTCCCTGAGGTCCACTGACCAAATTCTACTGGTTGTGCAGCGCACCAGGCTAAAGACCAAAGGTGACAAATCATTTGCTGCTGTGATCCCCAGACTCTGGAACTCTCTCCCCCTGAGCCTGAGATCAGTGGACTCAGTGGTCTCCTTTAAAAAGCAGCTGAAGACTCATCTGTTCAAGCTGGCTTTTGCATGACCTACATCACCACCTTCTCCTTGTTCTGTTCTTATTCTGCCTTTCCTGCGATCCACCGATTTTCCTCTTTGCTAATCATTCTTTCTCTGCCTTTCCTTACATATTTATTTTTCTCCATTTAAACACATTTTTAATCATTTTAGAAATCTTTTTACACTTGAATTTTTTTGTTTTGTTTTTGTGAAGCGCCTTGTGATTTTTATCTGGAGAGGTGCCGTATAAAAGATCGTCTTCTTCATCTTCTTTTAAATAAATGCTGGTTGTATGTAATGTGTTTTAGGTTTGTGATTCTAATGTTTTTCTCCACTATTTATTTCTATTCTCATTACTTTGTGACCAATAGCTGTAATACTCTATTATTAGAGAATATCACCTTGCTTGGTCTTAGGATGATTAATTAGAAGGTTCTAGAATTCTTTTAATTATTAAGGGATCGTCACACTTCACTTTGATTCAAGAACTAGTCAGTGTTTGCAAACAAATAAGAATATATTTTACAAACAATTTTAAGCCTTGACAAATGGTTTAAACTATTATTTACTGAGTGGATGCGAACTAAGAGATGGGTGTCTGGAACTAGGTGTGAATATAGTATTTCAGAGTCAAAATCGCATCTCAGAGAGAGGTGAGTTCTGGAAAATAAAAGAAATTGGTTTGCATCTGAGCTGTAAGCTGTTCTTATCAAACGGCACACAGACGCTATCACTGTGTTCTACGTACCCAAGTGGAGGCGCCCTTACGTATTTGAAACGTCGGGGGTTGGAGATCCCGAGTACAGAAGCCCATAGACTAACTCCTAGTACGACCAGGTCGGTCCAGGATTGCTAACACAGGTGGACTGGATGAAACCAAGCGTCTCAAAACCACTCTGAAGCAGTGTTGCAAAATCAGCTTTGTTCTGCAGGAAAAATCTTTCGTTGTTCTCGGCTTTGCAGGTGCAAAGGTTTAAGGGTTTTGACAGCGTGTCAAACTCCTTCCTTTGAGTTAGAGATCTGCTAAGAGGTGGCTGGCCTCCGCTTGCTCTCCGAACTCTCGTTCTGTCGGATGTTCGGACTGAACAGAGGAGAAGCAGAGCGGCTGGTTTATATAGCCTGCTGTTGATCTATTACCAAAGTTAGCAAGGATTCTCAGAATGCACACTCTGTGATGCAGAGCTGCTGGTCTGCGAAACAAGGTTAGTTTATGTGTAATGCTTCTTAATTTAGCCTTACGTCTTGTCTGGTGTGAGTGATCTAATCCAGTAAACATACTTAGCATCACTGAACAGATTCATGAAACATTTCATCATTTATAATTATACATCGCAATATTTAGTGATTATTAATTGTAAGATCTTCTTTTCTTCAAGGATTATTCTGAAATATAAAATAATTACTTATATTATGAAATCTTCTTTTCCTCTGGGAATAAAAGTTTATCTAACAGAGTTCTGTGCAGAACCTTGGGGAAAGGAATGCTACCGTCATCTTTCATTATCTGATGAAGCTTCAGTTCAGCTGATGAAGTTATCTGATTAAAGAGCCTGCGTGCAGACATTCCATCTCCTGTCAGGGTAAAATACAGCAGAACGTGTGTAGCCAGGGTTATTTGCTCTGGCCGTGCATATTAACTGTGGGGTCTCAAAATCAGTCCATTTGGTGACGTTACATATTTCATAATTGTTGAAATATATAAAAACTTCATTTTCTCGCCATAAATGGCATCAGAACAGAGAGAGAGAGTGATTGCAGTAACCAAATTTGACCACTGGATGTCACTATTACTCCATTCTTACACACTGCACCTTTAAAATGAAATAGCTAATGAATAAAATCAGCTTTATAGTAAAATTCTTCATGGCTTCGTTCTTTCTTTTCCACTTATCTAAATTCAGGTAGCTGAGGTAACAGCTCCATGGGGGAAACCCAAACCTCCCTATTCCCAGTAAAACTCTCTAGCTCCTCTTGGGGGAACCTAGTGTGCTTCCAGGCTAGAGAGAACACATAATCCTTCCAGCAAGTTTTCTCCCAGTGGGAAACTGATGGAAAAAAA